AGCTGGAAGCTTGGTACTCCTCTTCAGTTTAGCGTTTAGTGTTTATAGGGATGCACATTGATGAAGATTGCGGGGGGCTCAAACTGCCTGAAGGGGTTTGGGGTCCGGGCCCGTGAGCGGCAGGCGAAAGAAGCTAGCAGTGGTCGATGAGACCTCCAACCTGCTGGTGTGCGAGCCTCACTCTCTTGGCAAGGTTTAGGGTTTAGGGTTTAGGGTTGGCGTCAGAATTCAGTGTAGGCGCTACGGCTTGAGGGCCTCAGAATCAATACGCCCTAAACTTCAACGCTCGAAGCTCATATTCAGGTGTGTCGTCAGCGTATTTGAGCCCGTCCATGGGGACTAAACGAACCCCAAAATGGGATCTGGTGTTTTGGGTTCATATACCTTAATTAGGAGAATTGTGGTCCTACCTTGTAGAATAACCGGGTTACCATGATACTTGCTAAGTGGCTACCTCAAGGCCTATGCTCTGTAATTCCTAAGTTGTTCCCGAATCCCTAGTAGGCTGCAGTTTGGCGAAGTGTATACCCCATTCCCGTACCTCGATGATTTTGAATATGCCCCCCAAGCAGGGCCACAACCGAAACCTTGCACACCGAAAAGCCGAGCCGCCCTAAACCCTAATTCCTAAACCCCAAACCCTAAACCCTAAACACACATAAAAGTCTGAACCGCGCTGAAAGCTTTCGCCGGCCACCCAGGTATGACCTTGACACGCAGCAGCTGCTGTATCAGGCATCGTAGAGCAAAGCATTCTATTGCACTTAACCCTAAACCCTTATAAACCCTTAGAAACCCTATAAACCCTTATACACCCTTAGAAACCCTATAAACCCTATAGCCCTAAAACCAAACATTTCGCATTCCACGGCTCGATAGGGATTAGGATGACGGGGCACCCTCAGCCCTGAATCAAACACCGATTTCCAGAACCGGCCCCCAGCGCAATCCCAGGGGTTTCGTGGGATTTAGGGATGAGGGTTTAAGACTTAGGGTTTGGGCTTTGGGGATTTAGGGTTTAGGCTATAGGGTTTAGCGCCTGGGTTTGAGTTTAGGATTTAGGTTTCTGTTGCCGCAGCAGACTCAATCATTACATGGGCGGAGTCGTCAAGCCATAGTCTTCGAGCCCTAAATTCTGAAGAGTTCTTCTCGCTTTCGGACTGCTAAGCCCGTAACCCCAAACTCCCAAACTTTCGACAAACTAGAAAGATGTACCCATGCTCCTCGTTCTTTCCTTCCACTTTTCCAAAGGAAGCTGGGCAAAGTTACGCTAGACCTATTACGCCGAAATTCACCGAAGTATTCAAACGACCAAAACCTCAAAGTTAAAAAGCTCGAATTTCTCCGCCTTCCAGCTGGACATCTAACATGCGAAAAGCCTAAAACCCGAAAACTCGCAAGCCATGAAACCTTCTAAGCCCGAAACGCCTGCAGCTCACCCCCCCCCCCCCCAAAAAAAAAAAAAAAACACACACACACAAGAAAAGCAATCCCAAAACCCTAAACTCTAAACCCCGAACACTGAACCCTGAACCCCAAAGCTCCAAAATGTCTAAAACCCTGAAACCCACCACTGAACCCGAACCTTAACTGCCCACAAATAACCCCATGAAGCCCTATAAAACCTAGCAAAACCCTATAAAGCCCTTTAAAACCTAATAAAACCCTATAAAACCCTATAAAGCCCTATAAAGCCCTATAAAACCTCATAAAACCCTGCAAAGCCCTACAAAAACCCTATAAGGCCCTATAAAACCCTATAAAACCTAATAAAACCCTGCAAAGCCCTACAAAAACCCTATAAGGCCCTGCAAAGCCCCAAGGCCCGAAAGCTCCCCCAAGTGTCTGAAGCAATCAGCGCCCGCGCCAGGAGCCAAACGCCAACAGCGTAGCCTGGAACACGGAGATGGAGGACCTCCTTGGTCTCGGATGTTTAAGGTTTAGGGTTTAGGGCTTAGGGTAATCAGGGTCATCAGGGTTTAGGGTCATCAGGTTTCAGGGTTTAGGGTCATCCGTGATCAGGTTTGAAGATCGCCCGAAACCCTACGCACTAAACCCTAAACCCTGACCCCTCATTGTGTGTGTGTGCCTAAGTTACCAACATGATATTTGAGCCACACGGAACAAGGTCCGTTTCCCAGAAAATGAAGGGTTGGGACTGGGATTGGGAGGTCTATAGGCGTAGAAGCAAACCTAAATCGGCTGGAGCATGACCTATTTGAGTTGCACAGGTGGCAGGTACGGACCGGAATAAGCCCTAACCCTAAACCCTTCATTCGGGGGCGGGGCGCAAGGAAAAAGGGGGGTTTGGGGGGTCCAAGCCAGGATATGCTGGCCTACAGCGGCAGCAACATGCTGCGCCTCGGTCGCCTTACTCCCGAAGCTCAACTTTTAGGGTTTAGGGTTTAGGGCCCGAAGGTCCCCAAAAAAAAAACAAAAAAAAAAGTGAAAGGCCTTAAGTAGATACAAAGGGTCTCCGGCCCTGAGGGCAAACATTCTTAGGGAAGTTTAGGGTTTGATGCACCCAAAGCCCTCAAACTAGACAAGCCCTGACCTTTAACCTTCTCTAGAACTCCCCTCCATTGAGCAGGGTCGCTGCTTTTTTTGAGAGGGAGGGCTTAACCTTTCTAAGGGTAGTTATATGAGCCCTGAAAATGGTCCCTTGCCTCCTGGAAAGGCTTCTGTAGTGGGCCCTCGCGCTGTTGCGGGCTTTAAGGGGTGTAGAAGGGGTCCCTATAAGGGCCCCCTACCTAGAAGCAACTACCCTAAGACCCTGGAAGCTTCCTCCCTGATTCTCCATGCCCAGGTGCATCAAGACAGGCAACTTCCCCCCCCACATGCAAAAGCTCCAAGGTGCCTGGAGTTTAGGGATTCAGGGGGTTCAGGGGTTTAGAGGTTTAGGTTTTAGGGTTTAGGGGTTTGGGGTTTAGGGGTTGTTTGGGGGTTGAGGGGTGGAAGGGGGTTTTTTAGGGCTTGAGGGGTGTAGGGCTTAGGGGTGTAGAGGTTCAGGAGTTTTGGGGCTTAGGGTTTAGGCAGCGTTTGGGGGCGTTTCGGGGGTTCAGGGTCCTCAGGGTTTTGGGGGAAGTTTCTTTTCAGTTCGGGGTTGCATGTCTTAGGGGTATCAGGGTCTTCTTGGGTTTCAGCCTGCAAGTTAAGCTGAGGAGGGTGAGCAAGGGACATGGGTTGGTGTAGGGTTTAGGGCTTCGTGTTGGCGCGTCAGATGCGACCATTGGAACAGGCTTTCGGGTTCAGGGCTAAGGGTTCAGGACCAGTGTTCTGCTTGCCCCTGCTTGATGAAACCTCTGTTGACAGAACACGCTAAACCCTAAACCCAAAACCTTTCGGGGATAAGGTTTACGGAGAATTTGCTCTTTAGGGCTCCCTTAAGGCCCAACGGAAGCCGCGTTAAAGGCTTCCATGAGCCATACTTCGGTATCATACATCTTATGTACCTTCTACAACCCAAGGGCCCATACTTCAGACCCTTTAAAGTACGTCAGGTAAGGGAACTGTCGAGCCCATGACTTGGAGGACACCCATTATCGCTGAACTACAGAGCCCCACGGAGCTCTACGATACTTGGGGGGGGGGGTTCCTTCTTGACTAGGACCCAGAGCAGGCCCTTATTCCCCTTTTTTAGGCTTCTAGTTCCCTTATAAGCCTCCTTAGCCCATAAAGGGCACCCTTGTTATTCCCAGGCTATTCTTGCGTCCAATAGATCTAGGAACTTAAGGTTCTTTGATGAGGGCCTGTCTGGGGCCGTTCATGCGGGGGCTTTTTGGTACCACCCCAAAAGGACCCACAATGATCACAGGGTTATATATGGTGAAGAACACGTTCTCCTTCGTCGTGTTTAGGGTTTGGGGTGTCTTTATTCCGGCAACTCAAGTCAAGATCATTCACAAGAACCCCCCCCCCAAAAAAAAAAATAAATAATAAATAAAAAATATATATATATATATAATAACAGAAGCTTAACCCTAAACCCTAAACCCTAAACCACAGGCTTTGTCGTGGGCTTCAAGGGCTCCAAGATCTTTTGTCTGCACCTTCGACGCACGTCGCGGCAGAGGGGTCTTCATTTCCTCAGCCTGCGAACCGTAAGCCCCCTACCCAAAAGAGTAGGATTTAGGGTTTAGGGTTAAGGGCTTAGGGTTTAGGGGTTAGGGGTTAGGGGTCAGGGGTCAGGGGTGTAGGTTTCAGGGTCTGAGGTTTCGGGTCCAGGGTTCAGGGTAGAATGTTCAACGCCAACCGCAAATTTCGGTAAAGCCCCCCTTGGTTTAGGGTTTAGGGTTTAGGGTTACAAAACCCTAAACCCTAAACCTTATTTGGGGATCCTCAACTAAAAGTGGTGAGAACGTACATGGTGCGGCGTCGCTGCCCACCACCCACCCCCAACCAAGCCCACCCCAATTCAGGAGGGACCTGTGTATTTAGCTTCTTTTAGGGTTTAGGGTTTAGGGTTTATGGTTTAGGGTTTAGGGTAGCTTCTACTACACTTGCAGATTTGGTTCTGTGGGCAATGGGACAATGTTAGTTTTCTAGAGCGGCTCCTGCATGGTGCAGGCTCCAGGTTCGGGGATGGGATGGTTTAGGGTTTAGGGTTTAGGGTTTAGGGTTTAGGGTTTAGGGTTTAGGGTTTAGGGTTCAGGGTTCAGGGTTCAGGGTTCAGGGTTCATGGTGCAGTTGCAGGGATCAGGGTTCGGGGTTCGGGGTTCTGGGGCTTGCAAAAGCCTTAAGAGCGTAGGACCGCAGGAATTCTTTGTGGTGCTTTTACTGTAACTCTAGATCCTTAGCCTTTTTGGGCTTATTGGGTCTCTTAATAAGGCAGCTAAAAGTTTAAGTTATAGCTACCCTTCTGAGTGCAGCCAAGAATTCTTCAAGCTCAGCCTTTGACCCTCAACTATTGGGCGCGTTTTCCCCATTTGAGGTTTGGATTCCCCTTTGAACGGGCAAAAGGGGTAGTCTTTGTCTAGTCCATTCTGAGGCACTACATTTCAATGCAGACGATCGACGTGCCTCAGAGCGCGTCGCTGTACAGATATATCGAGAAAAAGGCGGGGCCCTCAACAACTTGGAAGAAAACTTGGAGGGAGCGAGGGGGAGGTGAGACCCTAAACCCTAAACCCTACATACACCCTAAACCCTAAACCCACAAAAGCCTCACCTTCGACCTCTAAACCCTTAGCGCCTAACCCGGAAACCCCATGCACCTTGTAACCCGGTAGACCCTTGGAGGCTGTCGAGTTGGCACTTCGGGATGACGTCCTTGACCCTTTCGGGGGTTTTGGGGCCATTTGAGGTGAGGTTTTTGAGGTTCAGGGCTTTCTGGCCTTGAAGGGGTTTAATTTTGGCTTTTGGGGTTCAGAGGCTTTGGCTTTTCAGGGGCTTTGTGGTTTGAAGTTTGAAGGGTTTAGGGTTTAGGGTTTAGGGCTGTACCCCGAGTCCTAAACTCTACACTTGGGCTGCCAGGATTTCGACACCGCCTACAGGGTTGCCTGCTTGGGTGTCACAGAGGTGCGCGGGCTCTGGGAAGGTTCGCCGTGAGCCCCACAAACCACCCGATTTTTTATAGGTTCCTGAGGAATCCCAAACCCTTAGCCCTAAACCCTAAACGCTTTTTGTAGGTTCCTTGAGGATCCGACCAGGGGCTTTATAGCAACAGCCTTCAAAAAGAGGTTTCTTCAGCCTTTGTCCTTTTCGCTTAGACTCATTCCGGAGACTCTATCTACCTGTTTGATGTGATTCGTGCGTATGGCTTTTAACCCCAAAACTTCTAGATCCTGAGCCCCAAAACATTCATTATGTACTTGGTTTGTCCTTGCGCAAAGAAGACCTACACGTTTCATGGCGCGGCGCATGGGCGATTCTTCGATGTGCTCCGCCTAAACCCTAAACCCTAAACCCTAAACCCTAAACCCTAAACCCTAAACCCTAAACCCTAAACCCTAAACCGAATGCAAGCATGAACTCCCAGCACCGAAGTCGACTTCATCCCCAGCAAAGCCCTCCGCACCTGAGCCGTCAGAGTCGACGTCATCGTTATCGCAGCTCGCAAATGTGCAGCACTCCTGCCTAAACCCTAAACCCTAAACCCTGAACCCTTAAACTTTTGAACCCTAAACCCTGAACCCTGAACCCTAAACCCTAAACCCTGAACCCTGAACCCTGAACCCTAAACCCTAAACCCTAAACCCTAGCTCGATGCATCAAGACACAAGTCCACTGTGTGTTGGTACCTTTTGCAGCTCCCCAGTTCGTTTTTCCTGGGCAGATTGTACTGTGCTTCGGTTTTGGGGGTTTTTCGGGTTTAGCCTAAACCCCCCTAGGCCCCTCAAACCTTAAGACCCAAAAGGGCCCCAGCAGTTCGATCAACCTCCATGTAAGGGTGGGGTGTTCAGGGCTGAGGACAGAGGAGCTTAGGATGGTGGGGTAGCCGGCTCCCTGCCGCAACGAAAACCTAAAACCTAAACCCTAAACCCTAAACCCTAAACCCTAACTGGCCCTAAACCCTAAACCCTAAACCCTAAACCCTAAACCCTACTGGGCCAGGCAGACTGGCGACTTCTCGCCCTGGACGCCCTGCAGAGCCTACGCTTCGACATCGCCCGAAAGGCCACCGTTTTTTTGGGTTTCTTAAGGGTTTTTTAGGGTTTAGGGTTTAGGGTTTAGGGTTTAGGGTTTAGGGCCACCATTCTTTAGATTCTTTTACGTTGTTTGGGGCTTTGTAGGGTTTAGGGCTCATGCTCTCTGGCCACCGCTCTTCTTTTTGATTTGTTTTTGTCCGGGTTTTGAGGGGCTTAGAATGGTGTTGTTTGGTGTGTTGTATCAGGTTTCTTCGTTTCTCGTTTCATTTCTTTGAGTTAAGGGTTTAGGGTTTAGGTTTTTTAGGGTTTAAGTAAGGTTTAGGGCTTAGGGTTTAGGGTTGTTAGGCTTTCTTTTAAAAGCCCTTGGAGTTGAGGACGGGCGTAAAGGGCCAACGGGCTTCTGGGGATGAACTCGAAAGGGCTTCGGCTTTTGACGGCTTGCAAAACGGGCGCTAATGTCTTGTATTGCTTCTAGACATTGGGATGTTGCCCCCCCCCCCCCCCCCTTATACTAAGAGTCCTTAATAGGGATTGTAATAGGGGTAATGTCTTTTGTTGCTTCTAGACATTGGGATGTTGCCCCCTTATACTAACAGTCCTTTATGCTAACAGTCCTTAGTAGGGATTGTAATTGGGGGAGCTCGAATCCCTATTAAGGCCTGTTAGTATAAGGGGGAAGGTCCCGATCTATACATCTGATTTGTTTAAGCTTGCTGGCTGAAAGGGCCACATTGGGTTACAGGATGTTGCAGGTCTGACAGTGCCAAAGAAAGGCTTACAGCGTTCTCTCCTCGGTTACTCGGAACCCTAGCATCGGGCTTAGAGGTCTAGATTGCAGGGCTTAGAGGTCTTGGTTTAGGTGTAGGGGTTGTTGGGTTGAAAGTGTCTGTCGTAGTAGGGCTCAAGCATTGGGGCTGTTGGCGGTTTAGTTGCTAGTTAGGGGTCTTAAGGTTCAGATGCCCTCAACATCCTAAACCTTAATCTCTTCGCGCATCTGGGGGGGGGGGGGGGAGGGCATTGCCCCCCTCACCTCGAAGAACCCTTACATTCGGATCTATAGGCTTAGGGTTGGGTTTAGTTGTTATGTTCCGCATGCGAGTCTTGTTTTGGATATACTATCAGTCCTTAATAGGGGTTATAGTACCCCCCTATTATAATCCTCAATATATTGAGGAGAGCCGTGCTTGATTCTATGGCCATGTACTCAGAAATAGAGTCTAAGTCCTGTCAACCGCTAATCTTGGGGTGTTCCCCATTCTACCAACAGTCCTTAATAGGGATCATAATCAGGGTACTATAGTCCCGATTAAGGACTGTTAGTATAAGGGGGACATCCCGACCTAATCCTATAAACCCTAAATCCTGTAAACCCTCACCCTCCGGGCGTTCACTCCCCCTAAACCCCTAAACCCTAAACCCTCAACCCTGAACCCTGAACCCTAAACCCTAAAACCCTAAAAAAAAAAAAAAAAAAAAACTCCAAAGCTTGCAGGCCTTCATCCGGATCAGGGATGTCAGGCGCCAAAAACTCACCGGACGGTGGTAGACTCGTAGGACTTGTCCTAAGGGTCCATGTTCCAACAGAGTATGTACTTGGGCCTTGCAGGGGTTCCCCTACATAGTAGCTTTAGAGCCCAAGTATATACAATGCAGGTACATGGATGTTTTTTTTTTTTTTTTTTGGGGGGGGGGGGGGTACATACAGTTTAGGGTGTTGATGGTTCAGGGATATGCGGTACCTGGGGGGTTTAGGCGGCTTTATAAGGTGTTGGTTCCATGTTGTTTTGCTGAAGGCTTTCTATCTTCTATTTTTTTATTTTCCTCAAGGGTTTATCATATGGATAAATAATACACCAAGAATGGATGTATGGATATACAACAAAAATAGTTAGGGTGTGGTTTCGGGTAGGGCATCCGACATTCAGAGGCTAACAAGACCTCATCCTAGGCATGGAGGATCAAGTCACGTCCTAAACTTCCGTACCCTTCGACCCTGGACCAGAATCCCTACACCAAGGACAGAGACCCTAAAGCAACCACAACTACAACAAAACACATACGAACACGTATTTAAACGTAGACCAATATGAGTATGCATGCATTCATGTATGTTTATGTGCCTACATATATATATATGTATGTATGTGGTATAAGTTGTTGGCTATGTTTGAGCCCCGAAGATTCCAGTCTTCTGGGTTTTTCAGGGCGTTGGAGAAGTTTGTTTTTTTTTTTTTTGGGGGGGGGGAGGCTTTGCCAAGCCTTGAAGCAACTACGGGCTTGAGGTCCAGTTTCTGTCCCTACTTCCCAAAAGAACAGGTTGATGTTTTGAGGGATTCCAAGGGTTTGGGTGGCTGCAGAGCTGAAGGTGTTGAGGGTTGATGGTTGAAGGTTGAAGGTTTAGGCAAGGAAGGGCTTTAGGGCTTTTGAGGGGCCGGTGGAGCGGTAAGGGCCGTACTAGTTCTGTGCTCAGAACCCCTAGTTTGACTGGCTTTTACTAAGGAGTTCGGACCGCCAAGTCGTTCCTAACAGCGCCAAAACTACATCCTAAGCGCTAAACCCCAACTAAACCCCAAATCCACAACCCTAAGCCCCAAACCCCACACCCTAAACCCCAAACCCTAAACCCCACGCACAAAATCCCTATGCTTAACATTAAAACCCTAAACCCTAAACCCTAAACCCAGAGCTTTGCGCCAGGTATATCGACCTGCTGAACCGAATCACGCAGCAGCACTCCCGAGCATGTTTGGACCGAGCACCCAAGACATCCCTGTTTAGGGTTTTGGGGTTTAGGGTTTTTGGGGTTTAGGTTTTGTTTTTTTAATCTGGGTTTAGGGCTTTTGGGGTTTGGGGTGTTTGGGGTTCAGGGTTTTCGGGGTTCAGGGTTTTCGGGGTTTTGGGTTTAGGGCTTTTTGGGGTTTAGGGCTTTTGGGGTTGAGGGTTTTGGGGGTTTGGGGTTTTGGGCTTTTTTGGGGTGTTGGGGTTTAGGGTTTTTTGGGGTTTCGGGTTTTTGGGGTTTAGGGTTTGCGGTTTAGGGTTTTGGGGTTCAGGGTTTTTGGGTTAGGCCCTACACCCTAAAGCCGCAGATCTGTTGAACCCGAGTTCTGTCGACCCTCTACACCCCTAGCCCTGCCTAGACCAGCATTTCTTTGGGTACCTCATCCAGGACCCGGAGTAGGCCCTGATTCCTTCTTTAGATTTTGGGGTTCCCTTAACGGAGTATTGCACCCTTGCTATGGCTAGCCTAGTCCCGGGTCTTTCACTGTCTTGCTGTACTATGCTAGCCATAGTTCTGCGCAAGTGAGCCCTAAACGCAGGGGAGGTAGCGTTTAGGGCTTCTAGAAACACCCAAACCAAGAAGGCACGAGCAGAATATGTTGAAGAGTTGAGGGATGAGGCTCTGGGATTTGGGGCAACACCACTTCTAGAAGGCTTCTCCTAAACCCCAAACCCTAAACCCTCATTTTGAGTCAACCTTGACAGCATGGCCCCCCGTGCTAACTTGTTTGTTGCATAAGGCAGGGGGCCGCAGGGTGTTCTAGGGGTGTGGGTTTACAGGGGGTCGAGGGTTTAGGGCTTGGGGCCCCCCCCCCCTCCCCCCCCCGAAACCCTAAACCCTAAAACCTAAACCCTAAACCCCAATGTGGTATCCTGATTAGTGTGAGGGGCCCCCCCCCCCCCCCCCCCCAAACTAAATCCACCCCCGTAATAGTGTTAAAAAAAAGGGCCCCCCCCAAACTAATTTTCGGCCCCGGCCCCCCCCCCCCCCCACCGGCTCCTCTTCATTTCCTCTTCGCTCCTCTTCCCTCTCCTCTTCCTCTCCTCTTCCTTTCCCTCTCCTCTTACATAATTAAGCTCAGGTAAGCTCAGATGAGCTCAGCTCAGGTAAGCTCAGGTAAGCTCAGGTAAGCTCAGTAATTAAAGCTAAAGGTAAGAGCTCAGGTAAACTTAGGTACCCTCCCCCCGAAAACCTTGACATTATTGTGGGGGTGCAATTTTTTTTTTTTAATGGGGTTCGGGGCAGCACGTGGACTACCCCCTTCAAAATTTGATGGCTAGGCCTCCTCAGATAAGCGAAGTCATAAGGAATCCTTGTTTTCCGGCCTGGTCGTCGACCCTGAACCCGGGAAGCTTGAAGGCGCGCCCCCCCGCCCCCCTCCCCCCGAAAACCTTGACAGTATTGTGGGGGTGCAATTTTTTTTTAATGGGCTTCGGGGCAGCACGTGGACTACCCCCTTCAAAATTTGATGGCTAGGCCTCCTCAGATAAGCGAAGTCATAAGGAATCCTTGTTTTCAGGCCTGGTCGTAGACCCTGAACCCGGGAAGCTTGAAGGCCAGCCCCCCCCCCCCCCGAACTCCGACTTGAAGCTGCTCTTCTTTTGCTCTTTTCTTTCATCATCTTCTTCTCTTTTTTCTCTGTTCCGAAACCCATGCCCGAAAAACTTTACTTTATTTTGGGGGGGCAATCCAAATTGGGTCTCCTGAATAATTTTTGGAAAACTTTTCATTATTGAGGGGGTCCAGACTAATCAGGATACGACATTAAACCCTAAACCCTAAACCCTATTGCACCATTGAAGATAGAGTTGGGCTCTATGGGTGGCTCCAGGACTTCGATGGACTATGGGGAGGGTGGTGGGGGGGGGTCTGCGGGTGATGGGGTTTGGAGTTTAGGGTTTAGGGGTTAGGGGGTTAGGGTTAAGGGCTTACGGGAGGTTAAAGCTTCACGTGAGCTTGGCTCCCACATCCATGATGTTCTCCCCTATAGCTACCTTGTAACCAGCAGACGTGTGGAGGAGCACAGGGTTTTCTCCAAAACGTGGTTTTCCCTGCCCCAGTCTCTTAACTGTAGTTGTCTTTGGGCAGACTTACCCTAAACCCTAAACCCTGGTTTTGGGGGCTTTGTCCGGGTTCCTGTGAAGGTATGGCCAGAAGTCGAGCCTTACCCATGACGAGGAGATGCTCGTGACAGCACAGGCACACGTGCCCCAGTACTCCCCGAAACCCTAAACCCTAAACCCTAAACCCTAAACCCTAAACCCTAAACCCTAAACCCTAAACCCTAAACCCTAAACCCTAAACCCTAAACCCTAAACCCTAAACCCTAAACCCTAAACCCTAAACCCTAAACCCTTAAACCTAAACCTAAACCCTAAACCCTAAACCTAAACCCTAAACAAAAACCCCAACCCTCAACCCTCAACCCTCAACCCTCAACCCTCAACCCTCAACCCTCAACCCTCAACCCTAACCCTAAACCCTAAACCCTAAACCCTAAACCCTAAACCCTAAACCCTAAACCCTAAACCCTAAACCCTAAACCCTGGCCTTCGGGGTTTGTTGGGTTAATGGCTGCAAAGAAGGTGGCCGACAGAATGCCATTATCTTGTGACATTAAGGAGCGCCTGTGAGGAATGTTGTGGTCGGCTTTTTGTGGTGATTTGGCTGTGGGGTGCGCGCAAAACATATACCCTTGAGCCCCAAACCCTAAACCCCAAATCTCGAATCCTGAGCCCCACCCTCTTTGTGGGTTTCCTAATCAAGGGTTCTCGTAGTTTCGGGAATTATTATTAAATACCCCATTCCTTGGCAAATGCACGAAACCTAAACCCTAAGCCCTAAACCCTAAACCCTAAACCCATTTCGGCCTGGAAGCCGAGGTGCTTGCCTTCCAGGGCAAGTATGGTGAGGCTGCTCAGTACTACGGCCGAGCGCGTGCCTACCATGCAGCAGTGGAGATGCGCGCACCTCAGATACCCAGCACCCGCAAGATGTAAGCAGCAGCAGCAGCCCAGAATGTGTACCCCAAATCTTAGTCCCCGATCTAAATCTTGTCAGGGTTTAGGGTTTGGGGCTTGGGGTTTGGGGTTTGTGGTTTGGGGGCTACGCCTGAATCTTCGAACCCGAAAATCTTCAATGCCCTTAGAGGCACACCCCCGCCCCTACATCCGTCAAGCCTTCAAGCATCCCAAAGCCCAACGGAGCTCTCTCTTGGGGACAAAATGAAGCCTGAAAGGTTTGGTTTCGGGTTTAGGGTTTAGGGTTTAGGGTTTAGGGTTTCAGGGTTTCAGGGTTTAAGGGTTTAAGGGTGTAGGGTCTGGGGTTTAGGGTCCAGATACCTTGCGACCCAGAGTAGGCCCTGATTCCCTTGTTTTAGGGTTTAGGTTCCCTTATAAGCCCCTTTAAACCCAGAAAGATCATTCCTAGGGCACCTTAAAACCGGGACTGGAATGGGACGGGGTATATGACCCCAATTATCGGGTTCATTTAATCCTCAATGATCCCAATTTCTGTGGGCCCTGCCTTTGGTCGCTTGCCTTCTTTAAAGGGTTCTGAAGTATGGTCCTTGTGCTTTCTAGGGTATGGAAGGGGTGTGTAAGGGGTCCCCTTTTCAGGGTCCATACTAAGGACCATGTAACTACCTTAAGATCAATCCTAAGCCAATGTGGTCAGAACTCTAAACTCCTACTATTTACTCAAGAACCCTCAAGAATTGAGATTAGTAGTCCCTAAATTGCGCTTATAAGGAGGGATCTGTTTTTGATATTTCGGGGGTCTTTAGGCAAATAGTAGATTCTGGTCCCTTTTGGGGTCGCTCTTATACGGCGGCCCCTGATAGAATGTAGGGTGCCCAAAAGGGGACCATAACTATCAGAGCTGCGAACTAAACCCTAAACCCTAAACCCTAAACCCTAAACCCTAAACCCTAAGCAGGTTCACCGAGCTGCGGAAGTGGGAAGAAGCCAAGCACTGGGCGCTTCAGGGGGAGAAGGCGCCATGTTTGGGGGAGCTTTTGGGGTCGATCGCACCAACACCCTGAACCCGAAATAGGGTTTAGGGTTTAGGGTTTATAGGGTTTAGGGTTTAGGGTTTAGGGCAGTTCAGGGCAGTTTAGGGCAGTTTAGGGTTTAGGGTTTGTATTTCCCAAAATGGGGGTGGGTACCGACCCCCAAAATTGGTACCCTTGTTTTCGCTTCTGGAAGGCCATGAGTTTGTTACAATTGCAGCCTAGGTAGCGCAGAAACCTTAAACTCCAAATTGCAAAGCCCTTAAACCTGAAAGGGGCTGAGGCTTCAGGGCCATAGGAGTCCTCAGAGACCCAAGATGATGAAGTAGGGTTTAGGGTTTAGGTTCAACCCAGCCCCTAAAACCTGTGGGGCCACACCGCAGAGGCCACCAAGAGGAGGGTCCCTCTAAAAATCTCCGCAGATCTCGGCGGCAGAGCTGCCCCTGAAAACCCGATGAAGCCCTTAGTTTATGGGTGTTTCCGACAGTAGGGTACCTTGTTTGGGGCCCTGATTATAAGGGAATCCTACTATTTGCGGGACCATATCAGGGGTCCCCTATTTTCGTAAAACCCCAGATGGGTATTTTATCCAAAGTAGGGGTATCCCACTCATATAGAATACAATCCCCTTAAACGGACCCCCCCCCCGCCCCCCCCCCCCCCCCCCCCCCCCAAAAAAAAAAAAAAGGGAAAGAAAGAGTGCCCCTACTTTCGGAAACCCCCATCTACACCGGAAAATGATACCCGGACCTTACTAATCATGAGTCAAAACCTACCCAATAAGGCTCTAGTTAAGGGCTTGTTGGGCCCAAAGGCCATCACATCTTAGGTTTTTTTGGGGCTATGTTGAGCCTAAGGGCTGCCCAGAACTTATGAAGGCCCCCGCAAACCCCAAACCCATCTCGTCAGGGGCTTAGGGTTTAGGGTTTAGGGTTTAGGGTTTATGGTTTAGGGTTCAGGGTTTAGGGTGCCCTCAGATGCCCGATATGAGTTTGAGGTTTGTGCGGCTCTTGTCAACTCAAGGGTCGTTGGGCATATCCTAGGTAAACCCCAGACCCGCCTAAACCCTATATGTAGGGTTTAGGGTTTAGGGTTTAGGGCTTAGGGCTTAGGGTTTAGGGTTTAGGGTTTAGGGTTTGGGGTTTAGGGTTTGGGGTTTAGGGTTAGGGATAAAGCTTCTAAATTCAACCCCAAACTCTTAAACTTACCTCCCCATGGGACCCCTGACCCAGGCGGGACCGCCCAAGCCGCCGCCCGTGCACGTGGAGGACGCTCCGCCCGGGCCCGTCCACGAAGAGAAGGCCTGGTAGCCCGGTACGCTTTTTGCCCCTTTTTTTGGTTCAAGGTTCCCTCATAAAGGAGCCAAACCCGAAAAGAGTGCCCTTATTTGTTGTGTGGTTGCTGGGCTACCAAGAAGGCTTTGGGGCTGGAGATTCAGGGCTGAAGTTTTCAAAGGACTTTTTTTTGGGGGGAGGGTTTAGGGGTTTAGGGTGTTTAGGGGGCTGGGAGAGGGTTTTATTGTTCTGGGGGGGTGTATGAGCTCAGGTTTTTTTTTGGTTTAGGGTTCAGGGTTTAGGGTTTTAGGTTTTAGGTTTTAGGTTTTAGGGTTTAGGGTTTTAGGGTTTAGGGTTTAAGGTTTAGGGTTTAGGGTTTGGGGTTTAGGGTTTAGGGTTTAGAGTTCAGAAACCTGGCAGGGGATCTCCATGGATGGCCCCGTGCCACCACCGATGCCACCTCCGCCACCGCAGGTGGCCAGCTGTGGGTTCTGGATCCTGAGTTTAGGGTTTAGGATTTAGGGTTTAGGATTTAGGGTTTAGGGTTTAGGGGATTTAGGGTTTAGGGTTTAGGGGTTTTAGGGTTTTAGGGTTTTAGGGTTTTAGGGTTTTAGGGTTTTAGGGGTTTCAGGGTTTTAGGGTTTTAGGGCTTTAGGGTTTTAGGGCTTTAGGGTTTTAGGGTTTTTAGGGTTTTAGGGTTTTAGGGTTTAGGGTTTTAGAGTTTTAGGGTTTAGTCTTCCGACTATGCTTAAGGCGGCTTAAGACTTCCCCACCCTCATACCCTCGTACAGAAGTCCCGAAATGGGGTATTCATTTCGGGAGCATGAGGGGGCTTCGTAGGGGGCAGGGATTAAGTAGGGTTGAGGGGTCAGGGTTCGGGAAATTAGTTCATAGCAAACAGATTAAGAATTCGCATGACCCAGCTTGGGATTCAAACAGCTTTACGCAAAAGTTTAGGGCTCAGGGAAAATTGCTGCAGGCTACAAGTACCCTGAAGGGAGCGACATTGAAGCCTTTAGTTGGGATTGCGGGCTTGGCGTTTAGGGTGTTAGGCTTGTTGGGGCTTGTAGAGTTTAGGATGGTTGCGGGCCCATCTAAATCACTAGAACAACAATCGATGTGGGATTGCTGGTGTGCTCATGACGCGCTTCTGGCTGCAGGTTTAATTAGGTTTCGGGCCTAAGGGTTGTTGGGGTTTGGTAGCTTTGACCCTAATTGTTGAGTGGCGTGGAGGGCTCATCTAAATACCCTAAATATGGTTAGAAGTATAGTTGCCGTACTTCTAAGGCTACTTATGACTGCCCATGAACCTCCAAGCGGGTGGATCAGGAAGAGTCCCTGGCGCAAGGACCGATTCTCAGAGTTCTTACTTTGTGGGATCAGGGGCTGTAGTTGCTTTAGCGTTTAGGCGTTATTAGAAACCCTGAGCTATAATCCCTTAGGATTGGGGACTTCGGAGGTGGGTGGAGGGGGGGGGGGGGTTGTTCTTAGGGTCCCTTTGTTGGCAGGGCCTTCGTGCAAGGACTCCGTTTTTGTAACAGTGCCTAGGGTTTAGGGTTTAATTAGAGCAACCTCGTAGGTAACGGCTTTTCTTCAGTCTTCCTAGGAGACTTTATTCAGATGACAAGTGCTCTGACCCAGACCTTGGAGACCCATCTTTTCGGCACTGCGTTGCCAGACTTCATCCGGCAGGCTGCAGGTGTTTTTGACTCCTTGAATATATGACTCCTTGAATATATCCCAGGTTGCTGATTGCGCATCTGCGAACTTGAAATTCATCAGGCACCGCCTGGGTTACTTGCATTCTGTGGGAGCCGAGCACGACATCCTTGTTACCCACACATTTGCTCCATGCATTTAGGGTTTAGGGCTTAGGGTTTGGGGTTTAGGGTGTAGGGTTTAGGGTTTAGGGCATCAGTTGGCCAGAATCCTGGCCATGCACCTGGATCGGCAAGGAGCGTCGGCGCCGCTTTTGTATCACACGACTGGTACCACAAACTTTGTGGTGCTTTACTGTAACTTTAGATCCTTAGCCTTTTTGGGCTTATTGGGTTTCTCAGTAAGGCAGATAGCTACCCTTCTGAGTGCAGCCAAGCGTTATCCCCATTGTGCAGAAAGACGGAAACGGCTTTGGAGCACGAACTCCAGCGTCGCTTCCCGTGGGAGCGTGACTCTCCGCCCCACACAAGCACGAACTGTACGAGGCATTAACCCTCTTGAACAATCCGGGTCCGATGTGTTCGTTGGTTGGTTGTCAGGGTTTTGGGTCGTCTCGGTTTGCTGGAGAATTGTTGTTGTCCTAAACCCTAAAACCTAAACCCTAGACATTAAGTTTTTGGGACACAGTTTCAACACCCGGCAGCCTCCAAAGCCCAAGATCCAGAAGATGCCTAATTTTGTCCTGATTTGGGTCGCGGTAGGGCTTACATAGTTTGTGGGGTTTACAGGGTTTATAGGCTAGGTTTTACAGGGTTTAATGGCTGTACTCTAAGGGTAGTTACATGGGCCCTTAAATGCGGTCCCTTACCTCCCTTAAAGCTAAAGGCTTCTGATGTATGAGCCCTTGGGTTGCGTAGGGTAGAAAAGGGGTATACTTAGATGGATCTGAAGCCCAGAACTCTTCCCGGGCTCCGAAGATTCGAAGTCTCGGAACTCCTATCAGGGAACGTACCGACCTGAAGGCTCCACTGTAGTTCCTTTTTGGGGGTTCTAGTTTTCTACCCCAAAAAGGTACTACATAGGAGCCTTTGGGTAGGAATAAGGCTGGGTTACAGTGCGGCAAGCCCAGCTTTAGGGTACTCCTGCCCTGACTCGGACTTGCCAATGTCTCTGAGCCTTCAAATGCAAGGTTTGCCTGGGGCGCTCTTTACCTACAGTTTCATGGGTTACACCTACTATCTAATGGCCCTAGCCCTAAACACTAAACCCTAAACCCTAAACCCTAAACCCTAAACCCCAGGTTTGGAACTTCTGGAGCCAGCCGAGGCCTGATCCTCAAGCAGGCGGAGTCCTCGGAGGAGGATGGCGAGCTTCGGGCGGCGGGGGAGATGTGCCCTCCCGCACGTTTGTGATGGGTTTAGGGTTTTTAGTTTTTTTGTTTTTTTAAAGGGTTTGAGGGTTTAGGGTCTTTCAGGGTTTAGGGTTTAGGGTTTAGGGTTTAGGGTTTGCTGTGTTTGCGGGAAGGTGCTGGGGTCGAATCGTGGGTTTCATGTTCGCTTTGGCGGCAGAGAAGGGTCAAGAGCTTCAAGGGGTCTCTTCTCGGAGTTGCTCACTTGGTATCAAATGGGGGTCGACGAAAATGCGGGACTTCTACTAGGAGGTTCATGGTAATGTTGGACTCGGTTTAGTACGTAGGGGTCCCCCCCCCCCAAACAATTTAGGGGTTTTCGGGGATCCTGTATAGTGTGGGCTGGGGTTGAAAGAAACCGGCCCTCAGCTTCCTTTTTGGCCTCTCTAAGTTTAAACCAGATCAGCATTTGTTGCCCTTACCGGCGACCCCGGCCCGGCAAACATCGCATAATTGAGGACCACCCTAAACAATGCCGGGTCCCCTATAAGGTTTCGGAAACATCGCATAATAGTGCCCCCTCTCTCTAAACCGGGTGCAACATTACTTATTAACCCCAGGTGTAACTGTACGTATAAGGCTCCCTAAGTCCTCTAAGTAGGTTAGAAGTAGACTTGTAATTGGGGTTATAAGTACCCATGAACCTCCAAGTAGTATAGACCCCTAAGAGTAGGATTCCCTATCATCGTTCCTGTCGAGGTACCTCACGGCGGGGAAGCATCGCAAGGCCGTGGAGATCTTTGTGAAGATCGCCGCCTTGGACAATCTCATCGAGGCCACCTCTGCCCTTACCTTTTGCGGTGCCCTTACCTTTTGCGGGAACAAAGGAGCCCCTAAAAGGGCTTATCTGGTTCCCGAAGCCCAAAACCCTAAACCCTAAACCCTAAATCACATGCCTGATAATGGGAATCATAGCAGTATAGGGTGCATGACAGTTTTAGGCTTCATTTGGTGGCCCAAGGTATCTTCTGTTCGCCTAAACCCATCAGACACTACATAGCCCCATGATCCATACAAGTTTGTCCTGCTCCATGGTTTAGGGTTTAAGGTTTAGGATTTAGGGTTTAGGGTTATGTTTGCATCTGACACCCTGTACGTAGCATAGCCTACCAACATATCCCTGTGCCCATTAAACGAAAGGTGGGCTTCACATACTCGCAAGACGCTCTTGTGTGTGTGGGTGGCGATGGGGCCAAGACCTTAGCTGGGCCCAATTTTCTAGGCATAAGTTGGTAAAGTGCAGGTGGTGCGGATGCTGCCCAACACGGAGACGCAGCTACTGCAGATGGCGGCAAAGGCGCAAGCCCTGCGCTTTCTGTGATCGTTGATTTCTGACGGGTGTAAGTGTAGGCCTTATACTGCAAATCCCGAGATACTAAACCCCCTCAAAACCCCTGTGATGCCCTCAGCCGAAACTCCTTGCGGCAGCGGTCTAGGTTTTTCTGAGGGGCCCCCAAATGAGCCCTAAAATTGGGGTCATATATCCTATACTACCTGTAGTCCCTATGAAGGCTTGGCGGCCCAGTGGTACCCTTTTCCCTTGTTTTGATTCAAGGTTCTTATAATATGGTTACGGGCTGCCAAGAAGGTATCTGAACCCTGAACCATAAGCCCTTTTAGGGAAGCCCCAAGGCTCCCAAGCACTAAAAACTCTAAAGACCTTAAGCCAACCCTGAACTGCATATAAGCCCTGAACCCTAAACCCTAAACCCTAAACCCTAAACCCTAAACCCTAAACCCTAAACCCTAAACCCTAAACCCTAAACCCTAAACCCCGAGACCGGGCTTGTGCGAGAGCTAGCTGAACTCCTCGGCCCTTGATTGGTAGTTTTCCTGGATAAGAGTCTAATACGAGGCCTACCCCAAACCCAAAAGCCCAAAATCGGTTTAGGGTTTAGGGTTTAGGGTTTAGGGTAACCACCCAAGAATCCCCACTGTCATCATCAGGACTCAAGGTTTAGCATGCAGGGTTGTGAGGTTGCAGGAATCCGAGCAACTTTCCCACAGCGCTTTCTCCGATATACTTGCACTTCAAGAAGATTTGCGGGATTCTCGAAATGTTTGCGTTCCTTGTGGAAGCCCGGAGCCCCAATTATTAGGGCCCGCCTGGATTAGGGTTTAGGGTTTAGGGTTTCGGGTTTAGGGTTTAGGGTTTAGGGATAGCCTCAAAAGGGGCCGTAATTTAGAGAAGTTGCCATTTCCCTCGAAAGACAAGCAATCCGCGGTTGCTTCCGTAAGTGGCCAGGACGGTGGATACGAAGCTGAGATGTGTGTAAGTTGCTTCGTGCCTCCGTTGTAGCCCCACATGCACATTCACTCCAAAACACCCTAGAGAAACTCGAAACCCCTAAGTCCCTAAGGCCTCAAACCCCTAAACTCAAAACCCCAAACCGCAAAGCTCCAAAAACACACGCAAGCGCCGTAGCCCCACAAGACGCCTGCCGCGCACATTTGGGTCATCAGCTCTCCCCACTTTTAAGCTCCAAAGGGAGCGACTTCTGGTTTCTGGGGTTTCATGTTTGATTAGGGTGTAGGGTAGACTTTATGCAAGGTTGTGTTATGGTTCCTACAGATCTTCTATATAATATGTATAAGTATTTACGTATTTGTTGTTTATTATTTTTTTTATCCTGTTTATCGGGCTTTCGCGTATCTAGGGCTTGTACGGGAATCGCACCTTTGCGTTTGTAAAGCTGCAAGCCGAAGATAGAAAAAAAACAGCGACCAAAACACCTAGCAAACCCCAGACCCTAAACCCCTATTCTAAACCCCAAACCCCTAAGCCCCTTATAAGCCCCAAACCCCTATATAAACCCCTAAACCCTAAACACCCAAACCCCTTTATGAACCCCTAAACCCTAAACCCCAAACCCCTAAACCCTAACCCCTAAACCCTAAACCCCAAACCCCTAAAACCCCTAAAACCCCTAAAACCCCTAAACCCTAAACCCTAAACCCCCAAACCCTAAACCCTAAACCCCAAACCCCAAACCCTAAACCCTAAACCCTAAACCCCAAAGATGGTCTCCCGCCGCGCCCTCCATGGCGAGCATGTGGCCGCAGCCGACGATGGAGCCCGGTGCCGGGGCGGGGCCGGTGCAGCGCCTGCCCCTGGAGCTGTTGCAAAGCGACGCTGGGCTCCAAAGCTGTAGCCCTAAACCCTAAACCCCAAACCCTAAACCCTAAACCCTAAACCCTGCGTCGGCCGAAGCCCTGTCAACCCCACCGGGCTTAGGTTCCCTTCAGGCTTTTTCGGGGCTTTTTCGGGCTCAGGGTCGGGGCTTTGGGGGTGTGTGTTTAGGGTCTATAGGGCTTAGCGCTCTTTCAGGTTTATTTTAGATTTTTCTTATTATTGTGATTATTATACTACTATCATGATTGTGATGCTTATTATTGTTACCTTTTTACTAGGGTTTAGGGTACACGCCGTGGGTTTTCCTAGGATGGACCCCCGGGCGGCGACTTGACGAAGTCGCCGCTTCCCAGCCTCCGCTCCGGGCGCCTCACGGCGCGCCAGCGCCTGTCGCGGGACCTCGAGGAAGCTCTTCTATAGGTAGGCACCCATTGGGGTTTAGGGTTTAGGGTTTGGGGTTTGGGGTTTAGGGTTTAGGGTTTAGGGTCTAGGGTTTAGGGTTTAGGGTTTGGGGTTCAGGGTTCAGGGTTTAGGGTTTAGAGCTTTTCTAGGTAGGCCCTTGGGAGATTTTCGACTTTCCCTTCTTGGGTTTCAGAGGATCACATTCAGGATGTTTTTCAGAGGATTTTATTTTCAGGGCCATCCTGGGAACCCACAGGCCCTGCTTTTGTTGGTGGCTTGGGGGCGTATATAGGGGTTGGGGGGTTCAGGTCTTGGGGTTTTGTGGTTGTAGGGTTGGGGGTTTAGAGCTTCGGCACTCGTCTCGTCCGGTTTTTGGGGGGTTTGTGATTTTGGGGTTTTTGGGTGGGTCCTTCGGGCTTTTGGGCCTTTACTTTGGGCTTCTAAGCTCTTCTAGGAATTCAGGGTAACCGGGTAAACCCCGACGCAGCCCAATCCAGCCCGAAACCTTGGCAGTTTGGGGCTTTTTTGGGGGTTGTAGGGTGTAGAGTGAAACCCAGCCCTGTGGACCTCAACCATTCCCTAAAATCTAGACTAAGACTCTAAAACCTCCCTCCCTGACCCCTCAAGCCTACAACCAAAACCCACACTAACCCCGAAACCCTAGAAGCCCAATCTTTGCTGATGTGGCAGTCAGTCTGCGAACTAAACCCAAGACCCTAAACCCCAGACATCCTAAACCCTAAACCCTAAACCCTGAACCCCTCAACCCTACTGCCCTAAACCCCTAAACCCTAAACCCTAATGCCCAAATTGTTGTTGCTTGAGTGCCCTCAGAAGTGGGAGTGTTTTCGGCACCGGGGCCCTAAGCAGGTGTCAGCTCACGTCGGCTGTTGATACGGCATACAATTTTATTACTCAGTGTTTTAAAATAGTGTTTGGTTCTTACATGTGAAAAAACATTAGTTTAAAATAAGTAAATAGGTTTAACGATATGTTTGTATATTATATATATATATATATATATAATTTCAATTCCATTCGATCCTTTTCTATTCGAAACTCCTTTCTATTCTTTGATTTTGTTTTATATTATCTTGATGTGTGATGATATGTTTCTTTCATTATGTCACTCCTTGTTTTATGACTTCTAACTAGAGGTGTGTTTTGAGACAGTGTCCAGAGATCGAGTCCCTTGACCTAGGCCCTCCTAACCCTAGAGCCCTTGCATAATACACCCTATACCGAACCTCCCCACTCCACCCACACCCACTCACCCAGTTCAAACCCAAGTTCAACCCTAAACCCTATAAACCCTACAGTATAAGCCCTATCAACACTACAAGCCCTATAAACCCCATTTACTCATGAAAAAACCCTAGAGCCCGAAACCCCGGGCCCTTTGACCCGACGGGTTGATGACAGGACCTCCGCCCAAAGCTCGAGAGCGCCAAAGCACGCGCCCAGGAGCTCTCCAAGGTAGGCTTAGTTTATGGGGGATTTGCAGGAGTTATACGGGAGTTTACAGGGTTCAAGCAGTTCCGGATGTCCTGAATAGCGTCTCTATAAAGCGGAGGCCGATACTAAAACAGGTGCAACATTAGCCCTGGGAGGTAGCCGCGGCCAAGCGCGCGGAGCTTGCAGACTTGGTGGCGGAGCTGCAGTGTCATATGGTCAGTTCTCTAGATCATGGTCCCTTTTTGGGGTTTAGGGTTTGGGGTTTAGGGTTTAAGGTTTAGGGTTTGGGGTTTAGGGTCTAGGGCTAGCCCCGATTATGTAGGGTACCCAAGAAGGGACCGTCATCCACATACAGGGTGCACGAAGTTTTCTGGACGTCTTTGTTTCTAGACTTCGAACGCGGGATTGCCAAGGCGCTCCGCCGGACAGAGGTCGCGTGGCCGCAGTGGAGGGGATCCCTAAACCCTAAACCCTAAACCCTAAACCCTAGACCCTAAACCCTTTTTTTTGGGGATCCCTAACCTTTCCCAACAAGACTCCGTCCCTAAAGCCTAAAAAAACCCTGAACAAGAGGACCCCAAGGAGCCCTAAGGGGGCCCTACGTAGGGCGGCCTTCGGGAATCCTGATTATATGCGTAGTCCTGGGTTTCCAGATCAGGCGCTATCAGCCTTCAGCCCCCGAAACTTCTGAAGAAGGGCCCTACATACTTGGGTGGGCGGGGTATTTTGGGTACCTTACAGGGTTGCCATCTACACCTGAAAGCATGGAATTCTGCCAACGAAATAGGCTCCTGGTACGCCCGACATCCTCAAGCCATCAAGAAGCAACCCCGCAGTAAGCTACTCTAAACCCTGAACCCTAAACCCCAAACCCTCCCCTTAAGGACTCTATATTCAGCTCCACAGGATGAACCCAACGAATCGAACCAGAGCCCTTCCTAAGGAACCAGTATGGTGAAAACGAGGGTGGTCCTAGGTAGGATAAGGGGGACCCTTAAAAGGGAACCCCTTCTAAGCCCTCTCCTGGCTCTCTTAACAAGGGACCTTACTCAGAGGGTCTATATCCCCAAGGGGTCCCCTTAATCCTATCCCCTAGGTGGGGGGGGGGGGGGGGTGTAACACCTTTTTGGGGTTGTTTAGCCCTTATTTGGGAATATGGGGCCCTTACACCCCACTCCCTTCCGCCCCTTTCGTTCCTTATGAAGGTTGCGAGGCTTCGTGGTGTCATACCCTGAACCCTTAAGCCTTCACCGAGAACCCAACCCTAACACCCAAACTGTCATGGTCTTACAGGGTTTAGGGTTTCGTGTTTAGGTTTTAGGGCTTAACATGCCTAGTCTCCCTTTGCCGGACCCTCACCCCCAACTCTCCGCACAGTGATGTGGAAGGACACCATAATCTTGAACCTGGGGTGATCCAGTTTGGCTGGGCTTAAAGTTTCGGATTCTAGGGTTTAGGGTTGTTGTTCCACCTTATGTTTCAGGGCCTAACGTCCAAAATTAGTTCTTTGTGCCAGAAAGGGCCTGCTTGAAGGTTCATGGGACTTAATAACCACTTATAACTGGGCTTATAACCCTACTTATAAATGGGATAACCCCTATAAGGCCCTTTAGGGGCATTATAAGTAGGGTTATAAGTACAGTTATAATTGGTTAGTAAGTACCATGAACCTCCAAGTGTGCTGTAGATCAACCACATCGTTTCGCGGTTGCAGTTGAAAGCATGTCGACCTGCAGTTCGAATTTGAACCCTGAACCCAAAAACCAAGCCGACGACCCTGGGTGTAGGGTTTAGGGTTTAGGGTTTAGGGTTTAGGGTTTAGGGTTTAGGGTTTAGGGTTCACCCAAGTCCTGAAACTCCACGCACCCCATCGTTCGATGTCGGAGACAGGCTGCGGAACAACTGGGCAGCCTTTCGCGCAGACAGCTGTCCGAGATCCGGCAACTGTGCCACTCGACTGTAGGGCCTGTGCAGTTTAGGGTTTAGGGTTTAGGGTTGAAGGTCTAGGAGATGTATAGGCTTGGAACCCATAGATCGCTTACGTCGCCGAGGCTTCATATCGGATTTCGGGTTCAGGGTTTATGGGGTTGATAGTTAATGGGGTTTAGGGTTTACAGGGTCCCCTAAACCCCTAAACCCTAACCCTAAACCCTAAACCCTAAACCCTAAACCCTAAACCCTAAACCCTAAACCCTAAACCCTAAACCCTAAACCCTAAACCCTGAACCATCCAAGGCCGGAGTCCCCCGGACAATGTGAAGAGGACGCTAGCAGCGGTCTGGCTGTCCTTCGGCCAGCACCTGAGGGACCAAACGAACCCTAAAGTAGGGTCATCTACCCTATGCTACTCTATTTCCTATTCAGGCATGTGGACCATAAACCCCTTTTTCGGGTGCATCTGGTCCCCAAAGCACAAGAAGTCACATGTGTGTTTCAGGCCTTTTGGGAGAACCTCCGTAAGACTACCTGCAGACCTTGCTATAGGGTTTAGGGTTTAGGTTTTAGGGTTTAGGGTGTAGGTTTTGGGATTTAAGGCGTGTGGTTGAGGGCTTGGGGTTTAGGGTTGAGACTTTTTTTGGCAAGAGCCAAGGTTCTTGAATGCCTCCAGATTCCAGGGGAAGTCCCCGACCAGCTTCTTCGACGACCGCAAAGACTGGGTCAGATGCCAGAAGATGCTGGCAGATGACTCCTTCATCGGCCGGATCCTCAACTACGACACGGCCGTCCTGACCTCGGTGCCCCACGTGATGTCCCACGTTGCTGGCACCTACCTGGGCATCTCCGAAGACCGGCGGCCCTCGGGCTCGGACGACTCCTCGAGCACGAGGCCGGAGAACCCGCCTCCGGAGTCGGCCGTGGGCGGGCGGATGGCCTCGCGCGCCACGCTGCGCCGCACGCTGACCAAGGAGCTGCAGCTCCGAGAGCTCCTGGCCTCCAAGGGCGCCCCCCTGCCGCCCCTCGATCTGCCCACGGTCGCACGCGCCAGCGAGCCCTGCGCCTGGGCGGCACTGTCCTTAAGGATCAGATGAACCCGAAAATTGGGGGGCATATGCCCTATACTACTATAATTCCTATGAAGGTATACGGCCCATAAACCCTTTTAGGGGTTCGTTTCGTCTAGGCATGAGCCCTGAAAACGGTCTAAGGGTAGTTTCACGGGCCCTTAGTATGGTCCCTTACCCTTTTCAAAGGGTTTGTAGGTATGGGCCCCCTAGGTTTTAAAGGGTATGTAAGGGGTCCCCTTTTTCAAGGTTCATATGAAGGGACCATGTGACTACCCTTAGACGAATCACGGGACCCCTAAACTCGATACCGTAAACCCTAAACCCTGAGCAGTATGTTAAGGGATACAACCTCAGGGGTACGAGTCTTGTTTAGGATTGTATAGGGTCTATAGGGGGTATGTAAGGGGTCCCCTTTCAAGGGCCCATACTAAGGGACCATGTAACTACCCTACCCTATAAACCCTATTAACCCTATTGAACCGATAAGCCCTATGGACCCAGAAACCCTAGAAGCCCGAAAATGCCTTAGAAGCCCATGTCTACGGACCCTGTAACTTCCTTAAACCCTAAACCCTAAACCCTAAACCCTAAACCCTAAACCCTAAACCCTAAACCCTAAACCCTAAACCCAAAGCCCCTTGAACAAGGTGGGCGGCTGCTCCTTTGGATGACCCGGGTCTTGGAAGAAGTGGGCCGCCGCGCGCGGCTTGAGGCAGAGCTGTGCCTGTGGCTTTGCAAGTTCTCGGTTTAGGGTTTAGGGTTTAGGGTTTGGGGTTTAGCGTTTAGGGTTTAGGGTTTGCGGTCTGATGGTCCCTTCTATTAGGGTTTAGTGTAATCCCTGCACTCTCAACCCCAAAACTCTCATACAAACCCTTATTGCAACAGTTCTCTCCTGTTTGGAGACCTACCGGCCTGGTCCTCCCATGGGCACGGTGTAGAGAAGAGACGATAGCAACGGCAACGTCATGGCAAGGGTTTACCCTTCAACCCTAAGCCCTAAACGCTGTTTGGGGGGGGCTTCTAGGCAGTTTGGGCGCATGTTGATGAGCAGCGACAGATTGGCCGGACTGGTTGAGGGCTCCCCATCTTTATGGGTTTTGGGGCCAGGTGCTAGGGCCTAGGAAGCCCGAACCTCCCGACCCTAAGCCCCAAACCCTAACCCTAAACCCTGAACCCTTACCTCCCCAAACCCTAACCCCTAAACCCGAAATCCGACTTCCCAGGCAAAGTTGTGAGGAGGAGCTTGCAGTGGCAGAGCAGCAGCGGGCCTCCTTCGAGGCTGAGGTGGGTGCCACAGCCAGGGGCTCCGGGCTTTAGGGTCCCCTGGGGGCAGGGTTCGGGGTTTAGTTCGGGTTTAGGGTTCAGGGTTCAGGGTTTAGGGTTTAGGGTTCAGAGTTTAGAGTTTAGGGCTTAGGGCTTGGGGCTTGGGGCTTAGGGTTTAGGGTCTTAGGGTCTTATAGGGGTTGGTGTATGTAGGGCTTAGACTTCGTTTGGGGCTGTAGGGTGCAGGGTTTTAGGGTGCTTTTTGTTGAGCTAAGGGGGCGAGGGTATTGGTAGCCTCGGAGTTTTCGGTATCAGGCCTGGGGACTCTTAGAACACTACTCTGCCGCAAAACCCTCATTTCGGGTGGTCCGCGGCCCCAGGACCTCTGAAACCTAAACCGTAAACCCTAAACCCTAAACCCTAATTACCCTAATTACCCTAATTACCCTAATTACCCTAATTACCCTAAACCCTAAACCTCTTCATATCAGGTGAAGAGTGCCGAAAGTGCGCTGCCTCCGCCTCTGCCCAAGGCGGTGGCCTCTCGGTTGCAGCGTGGCAAAGCTCTGTGGCCGAAGCCTTTCCTTCCCTACGGGTCCAGGTACTTAGGGTTCAGGGTTCAGGGTTCAGGGTTCAGGGTTCAGGGTTTAGGGTTTAGGGTTCAGGGTTCAGGGTTTAGGGTTTAGGGTTTAGGGTTTAGGGTTTAGGGTTTAGGGTCCAGGAGGTGGAGGCCGGCAACAAGTGAAATAGTTGATTGCAATAATCAAGGATTGTGTAATGGGGTGAGCGGGGTGGGGGGGTAGGATTTAGGGTGGGAAAGGGGGGGATTTCAAATACGAGGCCAAGATGGGGGTTCCAGGAGCCGCCAACTAAGGATTGGTTTAGGGTGCACGCAGGGAATGACTTCTGGGTCTGGGTACCCCAGCACCTTCAGGGAACCAATCGGTTCCGACTTCCTTGATTGCCTATGAAAAGCCCAGCATGCGCAGCAAACCGTACCAACCGTACCAAAACCCCGAACCTTTCTGGTGCTTTAGTGTAACTTTAGATCCTTAGCCTTTTGGGGTTTCTTGGGTTTCTGAATATGGCAGCTACAAATTTAATTTATAGCTACCCTTCTGAGTGCAGCCAACACTCCGGCGAACGTCTTGCGGTACATGAGGGGCGTTGTAGAAGGTACATTTGGGAGGAAAGGATGACCGGAAACCTGGAAAGGAAGGTTCTTAGGGTTTAGGGTTTTAGGGCTTTAGGGTTTTAGGGTTTTAGGGTTTTAGGGTTTTAGGGTTTTAGGGTTTCAGGGTTTTAGGGTTTTAGGGTTTTAGGGTTTTAGGGTTTAGGGTTTCAGGCTTTAGGCTTTAGGGTTTAGGGCCCGGAAAGCTTCACGATTCCCAGGTCGAGGTTGCCCCGAGGGAGCCGGAGCGGCGCTCGCCGAGGAAGCCACTGAGGGAGGTGGTCCTGCGGCCCGCTTCGAAGGTCACGCCTTTGTGGTGCTTTACCTTACTTCGCCTTTAGCTGAACTTTAAACTTTTTGGGTTTCCTTTTTTAGTAGGAATATTAAAGTTTAACCTTTTTTCCCCTTGGTCATTGGAGAAGTAAGTTACTGTAACTTAAGATACTTAGCCTTTTTTGGTTTCTTGGGTTTACCAATATGGCAGCTAAAAAATTACTTTATAGCTACCCTTCCGAGTGCAGCCAAGATACTTGCAGGCTCATGGGTAGTTATACGGTTTTACGTAGGGTTAGAAGTATGGCAACTATACTTATGAGCTTGTTTAGGGTGCTGAGAACCCTACCTATATCGTTCTAAGTTGGGTAACTATACTTAGAGCCCAAACTTTGTTGTTTTGGCCCAGCTTAGGTGTTTGGAGGCTCTAGGTTCGGGGAGTTTAGGGGTGCTTCAAAGGCCAAGTGCGTTCCTATGCCGTGCTACTTACTGGCTCATCCTAGGGGAATAAGGATCCTTGTGTCTCTCTATACCCCTTCTAGAGGGATATCCGAAGATGTAAACCCTAAACCCGAAACCGTAAACCCTAAACCCTAAACCCTGAACCCTAAACCCTAAACCCTTATATACCCTAAACCCTAAGCCCTAAACCCTAAACCCTAAACGGGGGGGACATTGAAGCCCTCAGCGAGAAGCCCAGGCAGCCGCTCGTAGTTCCCGTGGCCGCCCCCTTGCAGCTGCCGCCCGCGCGCCCAAAGCCGAAGCCCGAAGCGAAGGTGCCAATTGAGCGCGGGACCCAGGGTTTAGGGTTTAGGGTTCAGGGTTTAGGGTTTAGGGTGTCGGGGTTTAGATAAAATTTCAGGGTTTCAGGGTTGGGTTCAAAGTTTCAGCCATTGGGCTAGGGTTTCGGTTTAATTCCCTCCGCCAATGCTAAATCCCCCCGCAATTCTAAAATTTGCCTCGGCCGGACAAATATTCAAAATTGGGGGGGGGCCCAAACCGTAAAACCTGGAATCCGAGGCCTGGGAGGAGAAGGAGAGAGCATAGGGTCGGGAGTTTGGGGGTCTGGCTTCAGTTAGGGTTTAGCCTTAGTCCCTAAACCCGAATTAAACCCTCTGAGCCCTGAGCCTTCAGCCTTAAGCCCTGAACCCTGAAAACCCTCTGAGCCTTAGCCCTAAAGCCTAATTGACAACCCAAATGGCTCAACTCAAGGGCGGAGGCCAGCAACCCCCCCCCCCCCCCCAATTCTCAAACACGTTTAGTATGGGGCTGGGTGCTGGGAGTGCCCGGAAAATATTTAAAATTGGGGTGGGGTGTAGTATTAGGGGGAAGCGATTAGTCCGGAAGCTGAATCTATATACGGATAACCAAAGAACATCGACCGGTATCCCTCAGCCCTAAATAGTACCTCATCCCCTTCAATATCTCTAACCCCCATTAACCTCTACCACACCCGGCACACGGCCCAGGCTGGATGTCACAGGCCAGTTAGCCTCAGCCGACACCTCGGTCATGCTTTATCTGAAGTTTGTGGTCTAGGGGTTCAGGGTGTTTTTGGGCACCAGGACAAGGGATTCGCTAGTCTTCGTGGCCTTTGCGACGGACATAGTATCCTAAACCCTAAACCCTAAAGCCTAAACCCTAAACCATATGAGGATGTTCGGAACCTTAAGTTCGGAATGCCCTTCGGCAAAGAACCAGGTAGCGCCCAAGTGGAAGGTACGGAAGGAAGGCAGAACGACGCTAAATCCGAAAATCCGAAGCCCAAGAATCAATACACCTTAATTAAGGAATATACTCAATTCATGAAGGGATCCGTAATATGATTTAAGGCATATTCCTTAATCAAGGGGTCTTGGGCTCTCTGGGTCCTTGACTTGTCCTGTTGATCCAATGTGGAAGCCCTTCTTTCTTGTCGTGCCGACTTGCCCGGTTTGTTTACCTAAGGTGTGATCCCTTTAGGGGTAACCCTAATTATAAGGCTCCGCCAGAAGAAGAGGAGCCCCAGAAGGCACCAAGGTTAGGGGGCAGGGTTTAGGGTTTAGGGTTTCAGGGTTCAGGGTTTAGGGTTTAGGGTTGAGGATTTAGGGTAGGGTTTAGGCAGATCCCCCGCTTTGTCGGTGGCCTGCTGCAGAGTCTTTGTATTGGGAATTGCAGTACGAACTATCGGAGTATCGTTGGTGATGAAGGACTATGGGCTGAGGGGCGAAGGTACATGCCCGAAATCCAACAACCCTGAATAGCTTAGGTTTGGTACAGGGGTGGCGAAGCCAGGATCGTATGCAGAAGGTTTGGGGGCGGGGGGGGGGGGGTGGCGTAGGGGCGGGGGAACCAAAAGCCCTTCCCTACTAAACGAAACCACTACAAGAACACGCTTTAGCTGCCAACAGCCCCCTCAACGGGGTTGAGGGCCTCGTAAGTTTTAGGATTTAGGGCCTAGGGTTGGGGATGTGGGTTTGCCACCCAAAGCCCAAAACCCACAGGGCCCTACTGCAAACGCCCTAAAGGCCCTAGACGCCCTATTCCCTAAACCCTAAGCACTAAACCCTAAAGGCCCTAACACACTCAGCCGCTCTAGGTCCACTGCCAGCTGGCCAAGCTCAAGATGACTTTTCCGAAAGGTGTGCACGAGGCTCTGTTTAGTACGTGGGGCGGAGAAGGGTTTTGCAAGTGCGGTTTAGGGTTTAGGGTTTAGGATTTAGGGTTTATAGGGTTTAGGGTTTAGCGTTCAGAGTATAGCCCTGTAAATCTAACATGCTGGTTTAGCGAGGAGGTTGCATGACCTTCAGGTTTGACGCGTAAGTTGCGTCAAGGGCAAAGAATTGGGGGACCTTTGAAAGTGTGGGTTCCGAGCTGACAAAGTCGTGCTATAAGCATCCTTTTTCTCACACATTCCGGTTGAGATCTGCTCATCGGCGCCATCCAGCTTTCACGATTCTCCTCGGAGCTTGGACTTATCACGATCACGAAAGCACCCCTTGAAGCCACATAGATTGTTGCCAAGAATCGGCTTCAAACGATGCTTGGAGACCAGCATTTTGATGCGCCCCATCTTCAACATCCAAGCCCCAAAGCTGCGAGCTGATCGAGGTGCTTGACAAGCCGTCCCTGAGTAGAAAGGTTTGACTTTACTTTGATGGCAGTATTCAATTCAAAACGTGCACAGGACCATTACTGAGGATCGAACTCTTGACCCATCCCATAGAATCTTCCCCGGCAAAGCAGTGAGTATATCGAATATTATACCCTTGGCTGCAGCAGACTGCAGGTGAAAGATAAGAAAAACATTGCAATGTAGGCTATTATAGGGTTGAGGGTTAGTATGGTTTAGGAATGCCCGAGGCCTGCTGTAAAAAGGGTTTTGGAATTTAGGGTTTTTATTGTTCTTCTTTATGGGCTTATTCAGGTTTAGAGTTTGTATTGATCCAAGTCACTCCAGCGCTTAAGTTCTCGCAGGAGGTGCATCATCGCCTCATTAGCAAATCCCCAAACCCTAAACCCTAAACCCTAAACCCTAAACCCTAAACCCTAAACCCTAAACCCTAAACCCTAAACCCTAAACCCTAATCCTAAACCCTAAACCCTAAACCCGAAACCCTAAATCAGCGAGACACTGCAGCTGGGCAGTCCTCATCATGACCTCAAAGAAAACGTATACCAGATGCAAGCAGGACACGTGGAACTTCGGTTTCATCACCCAAGCCAAGTCGCCATCCCTGAGGAAGCAAGCACAAGCGCTCTTAAAGTGCAGGTTGGGTTATCTCCTCCATCTACGACCGAAGCAGCCCCACCTCATAGATATGGCTGTGAGTCTTCGATGGCATCGAAGAAACATCATACCAGTTGCATAGAGCTCGTCGGCCTCCGCTTGTGTCCTGAGCAGCAGGGCCCCTCCCACTCCTCCTTCAGTTTGACCAAAGACCTGAAAACATAAAAGCCCAAACCCACAAAGCTGATCTGAAGCTATGGCGTGCCAGCTGCAGATATCTTTGGCCGCGCTCCAGCAGGCCAAAGAAGCGGGCATAGGAAGTCCTTTTCAGGGTGGGATCTGGTTTTTGTTTGTAAATTTGGGTCTCGAGTTGAGAAACCACATAGCCGCCCCAAAGCCACCAAACCCATGAATTGGAAGGCCCTAGCAGTCACGAACAGGTTTAAACATATTCTAAGAATGGTTGGGTCGCACATATATTATGGGGTTTAGGGTTTAGGGTTTTGGGTTTAGGGTTTATAAGGGTTAGCCCGAAACACATCTGTAAATTGTATAGCATATTGTAGCAGAGGCTCATGGCCACCGAGACTAGGGCTAGCTTGGCGTCCCCAGGGTTTGCCTGAGCTACCTCCAAGCATCGTTCTGCAAGAAAGTCCAAAATGATTCGTCCATTGTACGCTTTGGCCGTAAAGTAATACCCATGCACCTTCTTCTTGATATGGCCCTCTTGGAAGCGTTTCTGAGAGCAAGGTACAGCGTTGCGTTTCCTCCATAGTTTAAATTCCTGAAAGGCGAAGGAGAGCAGCTCCGGCAATGATTGGTCCGTGTTCCCGAAGCTCCCAGCATCCAGTAATGCCTTCCTGGGCACAGGCGTGCGCGGGGGTTGTTTCAAAAACACGTCCGATCAAATGGTATATCCACAACCCTAGCCTAGACGCTAACCCTGTAATATTAGTACAAACCTTGCTTGCAATAGAGCCGAAACACATTGCTCCTCCGTTGGCTGTCTGCACCAGCCCTAGATTGTTCACGTGCATTGAACAGAACTTGACCATCGACAAATCGAAGCCGCGCAGCAGCAGCAATGGACCTAATCATGTATTCATTGGGATCTGGCGCTCGGGGTCATGTTGTGTTGCAAAACAAATTTATCGATCTACTCCGACACACATGTACAGTGCAAGGGGCTCAAAGTACCAGGCCGCAGTTTCTGGGTGATGAACTGCGAAGTCGTAACTTCCGTAGAAACCCACCCCGGGTTGCGAGCATCATGAGCATCTGGAGTATCATAATACTTGTTCGGGGAGGAGTCGTCGGCAACCGCATCACATTGGAAGCAGCACTTCATAGAGACAGGCGTGTGTCGAAGTCGAAGTACCCGCTCATGCCACTTCCAATCACCCTTAAGCTCGCAGCAGGCGAACCTTGTGCCATCTGCGAGCCACTGGCCCGCCAAGCGAGCCTTTGCTGCTGGGAGATCCTTGCCACTCGCATCGCAGCTTGGCCATCTCCCTCCAAAAGCCAGATTGGAACTCCAAACGAGATGTTCCAAGATCGGGCCCATTGTTGCAAGGCCTTCATGAACCATGTCCTGGTCCTTCATGGCAAACAGTAAGAAGTGACCAAGCCTTACACGTTTCGGCCTGAAAAGAGTCAGCGTAAGGAACATGGCAGTCACCTTGTCCTTCGGGTCACCCAAGCAACACTCGTCCCCGTAGAGGCTGAAAGGCACATGCTCGGAGCTGCCAGGATGGGAAGCGGCAAAGGGCATGTTAACCGACTTAAGATGTTGCCAATACTCCTGAACTTTCTCCTTGGGGCATCGTAGTTTCAGCTGGTGATACGTGTAGGCCAGCAGCTCGTGTACATCCAAGACAGGGATCGTTGTTTGGACAACTTGCCACTTTCCATCAGCAAATTCCCAGACTGGAACAGCCACATTCGTGGGTTCCTGAGCTAAGGAGACGCGGAATGGAAGGTGACAAGTGGCTTGGATCAATAGGGCTTATAAGAAGTTCATCAGGGAACAAAAAATTTTAAAGGGTTTGTAGGGTGCTAGGGGTTTCAGATTATATTATATCTTCCCTGTGTAGGGTCTCGATCTACTTTAACATCCCGATAGGGTGACACACCCAGGCTCCAGGGGCACATTGACATTCTTGAAGAAATTTCGCGCAAAGTTGCCAGGCTTGTACTTCATCAGTTTGGACACAACCTTGCCCTTGAAACGCCCGCTGGCCTCCTGCAAGGATATACTATTAAAAGGGCGCACATGCTGCGCTGCACGTTTGAAAGTACCTGCGCGTGTACACGCGCGCCATGTTTACAAGTACCATGTCCTCGTAGCCACTGCGTGCATCCTGCATGACTTCGGTGACGCTGGCTTCCTCAGCTTCATCGGTGTCACATTAAGAAGACACACGTGCGCAGTTTTTTTTAATAGATTCGAAGTTGCAAATTAGGCACAGAATGTACAGTGCTGCGTAGCCAGGATTCCCCGTCCGAAATCTTCTCCAGCATGTGCTGCAGCAGGCCTTTCGGCGATTCAGACGATTCACCATCGCTATGCTCACCTGGCGAAATTGCATTGCAATTGGAGCGATTATAAATTAGAATGACCCCTAGGTCACAAATGGCGCAGGCTCGTGATTTTTCTCATCCGGGATCCGGCTTTCGAAGTTGTGCCAAACTCGCAGCAAGAAGGTGCGCTAAGCAGCACACAGTTGCTAGGCTGTGCATAGCCCACTGGCACCTACGCCGGCAATAGTGGTGGTCAACGCAAAAGCAAAACGCAGTTTGTGTAATGTAGCTATGGCCCGGCCCGGGTGTCTTCCCAGCACAGCACCACGACTGGTGATGCAAACCTTCTGCTCCACGTATATCGTGGACCCGGATAGATATATAGCTGCTGACATGTGCATCAAGGTTAGCCCTGGTGTGTCAGAGCAAAAGCGAAAGATGTTCAAAATTTTCGAAGAGCAGCCAGTAGCAAGTTGCGATACATGTGAGCTTACAAGCAATCGAACAGGGGATAGCGCATGTACACACATCTCGTACGCTATGTTGCTACTTGCCACCCTTCAGGAACTTCCTGTACTGTTTGTCGTACGTGTCACAAGTCTTCAGAAGCTCCGTAGTCAGGTCAGGTAGGGTGTCCACCTGCGCACATAGAGCCCTAAACCCCATACATGACCCTTTTCATCAAACCCTATTAATAATAGATATGAACCGGTAAACCCGATATTTTAAACACCTATATAATTATAAACCCTATAAACCAACAATCGCATATATCCCTTCTGGAAACAGGCATATAATTATATTCTGGTTTGGGGGTTAGAACGCCTAGCAAAATAATATAATGTTATCAACCCTCCTGAAATTCAATAAACTTAAACCCGAAGTTTAGGGTTTAGGCCTTTTAAGGGTTTAGGGTCTAGGGTTTAATTAGGGTTTAGGGTTTATTATTAGGGTTTAGGGTTTATTAGGGTTTATAGGGTTTAGGGTTAATTAGGGTTAAGGGTTTAGGGTTTATAAGGGTTAAGGGTATAAGGGTTTTAAATAACCTCTTATCATAAACCCTACATATACTTAGCGCGTGTGAACCCTATATATAATCTAAACCCTTATCCCTATAAACCCTAAAAAATAATCCCTATAAACCTATAAACCCTATAATCTTATAAACCCTAATAACCATGACTACACCCTGAACCCTACCCCGGTTTCGAAAAAGCTAATTCTGGGAAAAAGGGGAGTTCGGGTTTACCCAGAACCCTCTAGAGATCTAAACTCCATACCATAAATTAACGGCGCGCAGCCTAGGCATGCGCCGAGCCTGTTCGCTGTCCAGGGCAAGCTGGGCCGCATCACGGGCAACTCGGACTTTCGCAGCCTGCGCGGGTTATGGGCTCAGGGTTATTAACACTGTAGTGGGTTCCGGCAACATCTATCTTGCGATATCGATGCAGTGCAATGACCACCTCATCCAAGACATCCTGTTTCATTGCTACCAGCAGGTGGTTTCCCCTGAGTACATGCGACATCACACAATTCTCGCAGCCAGACGACCCTCATGACTAATGATGACATTGGAGCATCGTAGGCTACTAGCTACAGCTGAGCGATCTGCATGTTCTTGGCCGCTTCCGTTTCATCAATCCTCGAAGCAAGCTGCAGCCTGTCGCTACCTTTGCTCAGGGCCTGCCAAAGGGATATAACAATCAGAGCGACTACCGGCAATGAGTAGAGATCATATTTGCAAGGGATCATCATCACTGTGTACGGATTGCATCGCACCTTCTTGGCCTCGGCCTTAATCTGCTTTGCAGATTTCGAATCCTGCAACGTAAACTTTTTGGTCATGGGGGCATCGACCCATACAATTGAATACACAATAACCAACCCTAAGCCCTAAACCCTAAACCCTTATAAACCCTAAACCCTAAACCCTATTATAAACCCTAATTATTATTATACACCCTAACCCTGGTAATGCCCTTATAAACCCTATAAACCCTCAAGCCTCAACCCTAAACCCTAAACCCTAAACCCTAAACCCAAACCCTAAACCCTAAACCCTAAACCCTAATTATAATAATTAACCCTTATAAACCCTAAACCCTTATAAACCCTAAACCCAAACCCTAATTAACCCTACGTAGTCCTGGGGGTCCTGGTCACTCTTGCTGGCTTTGTTCTTTGCCATAGCCTTTCCCTTAGCCTTGGCTTTGGGCTTGCTCTTCTTGTTCTTCGGGGTCTTGTCTTTCCTCCGCTTGGGCTGCGGCTTCTTTGTCTTCTTTGGCTTCTTTGCGGTCTCGGTGCCGCGACTGTCTTCACCATCGATGTTCTCATCTTCGAAATCGCTCTTGCTCGACTCATCACTTGAGCTCTCCTCCGAGGACCCCGAACCCTCGAGCTGGAACACCTCTTCATACTCCTCGGCTTCCAGGTTTTCTTCGGTCTCGTCGGCGAGGCACAGGTATTGGTGCATGTCCTCCAGGGTTTGGGGTTTTATGATTATATTCGGGTTCTAGGGTTATACAAGGGTTTATGAAAATTATTAGGGCTTGAAGGCCTCCACAGACCGAGGCTGCGGGGGCGGGGGGGGCGGGGGGGCAGAGGGATATAAACCTAGTATGCTGGCCTGGCGGTGAGGACAATCGGGATGGGGTCGTGTCTCCCGCTTTTTGATGTTCTCGTCCCGGGACTTGCTGTCGATGATATCGTCGGCGATATCTTGGCCCCATCTGCTGATAAGTTCGGCGCGCGTGTACCACTTCCTGATCCCCCTTTTCTGCTTTGAGTTGCGGTTTCTCAGGGTGACCAAGAGGCCTGACTGCGCCCAATTTTCTGTGGACGTCAGCCAATTCTCGAAAAGGAACTGGCGCTGAGCGGAATGCGGAGGGGCTTTCTCTGCAAGCTTCACAATCTCTTTGGGAGTGTTGGGACCTAAGTGCCCGCCCTATACATCCAAGCTCGAAATTCCAAAATGTGGAACGCAAGACAAGGAAGCAATTATAAGCAGTTTGCAAAGGCCCAAGCTTATCAACGAACGGGAGAACCGCATGTACCTGGCATGGAGCCGCGATCTTGGCATCCTCCTTTGCCTTCTTTCCTGGGCTTTTCTTTCCTGGGCTTCTCTTCCCTGGGCTTGTCTTTCCTGGGCTTCCCTTCCCTGGGCTTCTCTTTCCTGGGCTTCTCTTTCCTGGGCTTCTCTTTCCTGGGCTTCTCTTCCCTGGGCTTCTCTTTCCTGGGCTCTTCTTTTCCGGGCTCCTCGTTTCGGGTCCTGTGCAGTTCTCTGCTTCGGCCTGCGTCGAATTCGAATTCGAAGGCTTCTCCTCGGAAGCCTCTGCTTGTTGGCTTTCCACGATCTCCTGTGGGCTCGCTTTCTTTCCAGGGCTCGGACCCTTGGTGGACATCCTTCGTCTTTTCTTGGCAGGGCTTTTACGGGCTGAGCTTGGCTGGGTTTGCTTCTCAGGGGTGCTAGCAGACATGTCAGCAGCGTTGGGCCGCCCAGAATCATGTACACCAGTCTGCTCATGCTGCTTGCTCTCTGCTGCTGGTTCGGAGGCTTTGCGCCTATCGATTTCGGCGACAACAGCCTGCAGCTGCTCGTCGGTGAGGCGGTCGACTGTGTGGCCCCTCATCAGCAATGAGTGGACCGAATCCTTTTCGGGGTCACTACTTGCAGCCCACGGGCAAGTCCACGAACTCCAGTCACCATTCCATGCGTTACCAGACCATCCATCCCACGAAGACCATCCCCACCCCGATCCCCACCAGGTATCACCAGAAGATGTTGTGTCGAGGCTTTCTTTGGATCAGGATGACCAATTGGGCTTATCACCATGCTTCTGCGTAGTGTTTCTGGAGGGGGTCTGCTGATCCGGGTAAGCAAGCTTGGCAGGGCTGGGGGTGTCAGCTTCGGAGTAGCCCTGGCCTAGCTGCAGTGTGAGGCTGGAGAGGTCCCTTCGGAGGAGCGGCCTCATCTCTTTGGGAGCCTGGGCAATTGCGCAAATACAGGGTTAGGGTTCGAAGGGTTTCGAGGGTGGTTTAGCTAATGTGAGAGGGTTTATAAGGGTTTATATATATATATATGTATATATTTTTATTATATCTATATACATATGTATGATGATCCATGATCATGAATGCATGTGTACAAAAAAATATATATATGATGCGGGTGCGGCCTGTCCCCCCCCCCCTTCCCCCCCCCACCCCCCCAATGCCCCCCCCCTCCCCCCCAATGCCCCCCCCTCCCTCCCCCCCCAATCCCCCCCCCCCCCCCCCATCCCCCCCCCCCCCCCCCCCCCCCTGTGTGTGGTTGAGGGGTCAGGTTCAGCGTGTGTAGGGTTTGGGTTGTTGAAGGGTTTAAGGGTTAGGGCCCCCCCCCCCCCCCCCCCGTGGTGTGGTCGTGGGTTGGTTTTAGGGTTCAGGGTTTTAGGGTTTAGGGTTTTATGGGTTCACACATGATATACATATATCTATCTATCTATCTATATATATATATCATACACATAGACATAAATCAATATACGTAGGGTATATGTGCACATATTCATCTATATATATATATATGTATATATATATATATATATGGATACTTTTCCCCTGTAGTGTAGTACTTTTGCATATTAATTAGGTATGTATATATGTATATATATATATATATAGAGAGAGAGAAAGATTTCGCGTAACATAATATATATATATATATATATATATATATATGTACATATTATACACTTGTATATAGTATATTGTATTCCATCGAATATGTATATATATATACATATACATATATATATATATATGCTCTGTGTATACTATGGAGGTTATAAGTATATATATATATATACAATATAAATATATATATATATATATACACATACTATCAATAAAGTGTTTATATCTATCTATATATATATATATATACAATACCTACAAAAACATTCGGTGTCCAGTAGGGGAATTAAGGGTTAGTTCACCTTTGGGATTATAAGGGGATTAAATTAGCACAAAAAGGTTATAAAATAAAGGGTACTTACTCTGCTACTTGGCATATATATATATATATGATCCCGGTTCTCGGTTCGCCACCCCCCCCCCCCCCCCCCCCCCCATGGTATGGTCCCCGCCCCCCGCCCCCCCCACCCACCCACCCCCCAACCCCCCTAAACCCTAAACCCTAGAAGCCAAGGTTCCTCCGGGCTGCCTTGGCCTGCTTCGGCCCCTGCTTCCTTCCCATCTTTTGGCAGCGGCGAGGGCACCTTCAAGGTGGCGTCGACGTCGGCGTCCTTCCATATAGGGTTTGTTGGTGTATAGGGTTTCTTAGGGGTTATAATTTAGGGTTATTATAGGGTTCTATAAAATAAATATATGGGTTTTCTATTTAAGTAGGGATACATATATAGTTTCATAATAGTCTTTACGTAGGGACAAAGATCCTGGGCCTCTTTCCCACCCTCGTAAGGAGTGCCACCCACTTGCGCGGCCATGTCCTGCCAAAATAGCACAGTACTACACACATCGACGCGGGATAGACGTGTGATAGATCTAGATATTCGAAGCCGAAGCAGGAAGCCAGGTCCTGAGAGTTTGCGGTTGTCATCGGGGTCGCGGCTTCTGTTTTGCTGGCTTGGCTGCACGGGGTTGGCAAGGACTCCTCTTTTGTAGGGGTTCTGCGTCGCGGTCGCGTAGGTGGGGGTGGCTGCATCGCCTGGGTGGCGCCTGGATCAGCTGCAGGTGGAGCAGGCGCGGCTTCATGACCAGACCCTAGAGCTGTACCTGGCTAGTATAATTGAGGAATCGCATTTGCAAGGGTCGAAAAAAAATAAAATCATGCCGGGGAGGCCTGTGAGAGCACTCTGCTTCAATTCAGCAGCTTGCTTCAAAATTTCTTCCAAGGAAGGCACCGGCATGATGATCAGAAGGAGTGTGCGTAGAAATGTTTTATGAAATGACATGGCACTGGTTCCAATACACTGCAGCAGTGGCTTCTGACACAGAACCAGACCACACCATATCATCAGTTGAGCCGCTTCCATGGTGGCGGAGAAGACGGAAATTGCATGAAAAAACTGCTGGAAAATTATACTGGGCAAGGGCAAAATTGTAGGGTCACGCCAGCATCACGCAGCAGTCACGCTCGAGTCACGCCCACTCACGCTCAGTGTGGCTGTGGCTGTATTTAAAACTAGACCCACGCACGCACAACGCACGCGCAACGCACGCACAACTCACGGCAGCATCACGCCAGAATCACGCCAGAATCACGCTAGCATCACGCCCTCCGAATTCCCAAAAAAACCCTCCGAACTCCCAAAAAAACCCTCCGAATCTTAAGTAAAGAGATGCTTTTTCGGAGCACATCGAGGGTGATAATGCTCGAGCTCCGTTTCCTTGACTGAGGCACGATGCCAGAACGCAGGTCTAGTCCCTGCTTAATTGTGCAGTGCTGCATCGAGGCACACATATGGGTATCCACATGTGATTAAATTTGGTGAATTTGGTGCGCAGTGCAGAGTGATATCAGTGCATGGATCCCTCATCAGAGAGCCATCATCGGCCTGAAGCGTCCCTGCGCCTGCTCCTGACGCAGGAAGTCTTCCACCTCCTCGAGATTCGCGTGCATCCAGCCGAGCGGCTTCGGGACCTGGCCAATCAACTTATACATGGGCGCCCAATATGTCGAGTTCAGAAACCTGGGGGCTCTATAGAGGTGAAAGGGTTACCTGGATCTGCGAGAAAGACCCCTAAACCCCAAACCCTAAACCCTTATAAACCCTAAACTCTAAACCCTAAACCCTATAAAATAGAAAATCTAAATTACAAACCCTTGGCCCTTTATAAGCCCTAGACCCTAAACTCTACAATAAACCTTATAATTATAAACCCTATAAACATATGCACTGCCCTTACACGATGCACCTATTGCAGCGGGAGGAGAAAGGGAGAGAGAAAGACAGAAAGAGATAAAGATAAAGAAAGAAAGAGAAAGAGAGAAAGATAAATTTAAGAGAGAAAGAGAGAAAGAAAGAAAGAAAGAGCGAAAGAGAGAAATAGAGAAAGCAAGAAAGAGAGAAAGAAAGAAAGAGTGAAAGAGAGAAAGAGCGAGAAAGAGCGAGAAAGAGAGAAAGAGAGGAAGAGAGAAAGAGAGAAAGAGAGAAAGAGAGAAAGAGAGGAAGAGAGGAAGAGAGGAAGAGAGGAAGAGAGGAAGAGAGGAAGAGAGGAAGAGAGAAAGAGATAAAGAGAGAAAGAGAGAAAGCGAGAAAGAGAGAAAGAGAGGAAGAGAGAAAGAGAGAAAGAGAGAAAGAGAGAGAGAGAAAGAGAGAAAGAAAGAAAGAAAGAAAGAAAGGAAGAGAGGAAGAGAGGAAGAGAGAAAGAGAGAAAGAGAGAAAGAGAGAAAGAGAGAAAGAGACAAAGAGAGAAAGAGAGAAAGAGAGAAAGAGAGAAAGAGAGAAAGAAAGAAAGAGAGAAAGAGAGAAAGAGAGAAAGAGAGAAAGAGAGAAAGAGAGAAAGAGCGAAAGAGCGAAAGAGCGAAAGAGCGAAAGAGCGAAAGAGCGAAAGAGCGAAAGAGCGAAAGAGCGAAAGAGAGAAAGAGAGAAAGAGAGAAAGAGAGAAAGAGAGAAAGAGAGAAAGAGAGAAAGAGAGAAAGAGAGAAAGAGAGAAAGAGAGAAAGAAAGGAAGAAAGGAAGAGAGGAAGAGAGGAAGAGAGAAAGAGAGAAAGAAAGAAAGAGAGAAAGAGAGAAAGAGAGAAAGAGAGAAAGAGAGAAAGAGAGAAAGAGAGAAAGAGAGAAAGAGAGAAAGAGAGAAAGAGAGAAAGAGAGAAAGAGAGAAAGAGAGAACGAGAGAAAGAGAGAAAGAGAGAAAGAGAGAACGAGAGAACGAGAGAAAGAGAAAAGAGAGAAGGATTCAAACTTCTGGCCATGCTTCGCCTTACTGGTTTTGGGTTTCATTAGTATATATACTTTCTAAACCCGAATATATATATATATATAGTACACATATGTGTGAGAGGCTATATAATTATAGTTCTATTTTGGTTTTGGGTTTTATAGGGTTGAGGGCTATTCTAGCTGGGTTTACTATTTTGGGGGTATGGGTTCCGCATAGTTTAAGATGAGAGGCCACATACCGGAGGTGCAAGCGCGCCACTCGCACACAGAATCTGTGTGGATAGGTTTGCGTTTGCTTCAACAACTTGTCGCCTGTCCTGGGCAGAGCGCATGCACACATGATCAGAGCAGCTACACACCACACGAACGCACGCGCACAGAGCACGTTCTCAGTTGCCCACACAGTCGTTCGGCCATCCGGGGTTTTTTTTCTCTTGACGATGCCTTTGGAATTCAATCCAAGGCGAGCCAATCTCTTCTTCGTCAGGGTGCGGTACAGCTTGGGGATCAACCCCTGGATTGCAGGACTGCGCAGTTGCAAGGGTTCGAACTCGTGATAGCAATAGCAGGACGCAACATGATCTTTGCATCCAGGCCACATGGTCCCAAAAGCCAAACTGCCTTTTCTGGAGCGCGATCCGAAGTAGCCCATCCAGCTGAGCAAAGGGGAGATATAGATAATGCACGTGCACTTCCAAGAATTCTCAATCAATACGATTGGCTTGCGATTGGGGTCCCCGCAAGAAAGTTCTGTGGAAGGGCAAGAAGCAGGATAGGACCCGAAACACGTGTGCGACATAGGGGACGTGTTCGAGCTTGGAGCTGAAAGGTTGTTCCAACAGGAAGTAGCATTGCCGAACAGTGAGGAGAAGCAAGAGAAGTGAGACACGGGCGGCTATCCTTAGATCGATTGCAACAGAGAGATGGAGCGTGCTTTGCACTGTGCAAAGTTGTTTGATCGAGGCGTGTACAAATGAAACTGCAAACCGAGCATCACATTAGCCTGTGCCACAGAAGGCGCTTCTTCATTTCCCAGCGGACACTCAACCGTGCGGCCAGATGTAGCCGAGCTTATCCACACGAAGCTGCTGCACGGCAACCCTATTGTCGCCAAAGCATGCGGTCTCAGCTTCAGGATCCCACGAACAGCCGAAATGAAGCCGGGCCTCAGTGTGGCCAAGTGCCTATGAACTGGACCCTTTATAAAACCCTAATTATACCCATAAACCCGTCTAAACCCTAAACCCTAATTTTAACCCTAAATCCTATATCTAAATATTTAAACCATTATATAAGCCATAATAAACCCTGAACCCTATAAACCCTATAAACTTATGAACCCTAAACCCGAAACTCCTAGTTAAGACAGAGAGCGTTGTTGTGATGTCATCCAGAAGTGGACGGCCCTTGATGTCGTAGTAGTCCCTCGCCACAAAAAACAAAAAACAAAAAAACGTAGTAACTTCCCAGACAACAGGACTGATGAGTGCGCAGAAATCTTATATTGGCAAGCAAGTGTCGATCGCAGGCCAGCAATGCCTGCAGCTTTGTTCAGAGGACTTGCGAAGGAATCGGGGGAAAGCTAATTTCAGCATCGATCGAGGTTCTGGCAAAATTCTCGCTGCATGCCTCTTTGGCCTGCGAACAAATCGAGGTGGTGTAAGTCCTCGGTGCTGGAGCGAAAAATTTATAGGGTTTTTTGGGGTTTATGGTAAGGGCTTGGTGTCAATTAGGGAATAAGACATAAACCCTATAAACCCTGATAAACCCTACAAACCCTAAACCCCAATATTATATACATGACCCCTAAACCTAGTTCACCCTCAACTAAACCCTGTAATAAACCCTGGCCAAATGGTTTACAACGTGCCCGGGCACTCTGAAGCTCATATCAGGCGGACTGTTTTGGACGATGAAGTCGCAAACGTGTATCCTTGCAACATGGGGCGGGTTCGGGCTCGTGGCGAATTATATCATTTCCAGCAAGCTATCGCTATAAGAAAATATATGGTTTAGGATAGTACAATATTGAAGCCAAATTACAAGGTCTTGTGCGAACCCATGAGGGTCAACATCGTAATAGCTGCAGCACTCAATGACAAAGGAGATGCCGTCATGGCACTGGCGCTGGCCCACTTTGTGGCCATGGTTCGCAGCTGGGCTGAATGCTTCTTTTTGGGTTTTATTACGTCGTGACTTGTAGTTGGGCACACCTCTGCGGCCCCACACACACGCACATGCACACCGGCAAAACTCGAGCTGAAAATTGGAAGCAGGTTGCATGACCATCAGAGCTGCCACTATCACGCGGCAGATTGAATCGGTTGCGGTCAAAGCAGGTCGCACAAAGTGCAGTGGCCCGCCCCTTTTAGCGCACACATGACAGCGAAGCAGGGTGCATCACTTCGAGCGACGCTGATCAAACATATAAGTACTGGCCAGGCACGCGTATACAAAAATGCCTTGCGGGAACTTGTCGAGTCACGCCCGTGTGGCCTTCGAGCGGCCCTTGCGAACAGTTTTTCTTTTCTTCTTTCCCCTGAGGGTTCTCTTGGGCTCATCGTCACGAGGAATCGGAATCCAGCCCGCCAGCAACTTTGCCAGCCTGTACCTAAAGAAGATCTCCAAATAGCTGCGCACACGCGTCGACACACAACACAACAGAATAGTACTTTCGGACGAAGAACATCTGCTGCAGATTGCCCAGGTCCCCCTTCTTCCAGCTCAAAGTGACCCCCTGGTTCTTGTTGGCCTGCACGCAGGGATCAATATGTATCACGTGATAAGACTGCTAGCCCTGATTACATGTCCGTATTGCAATCTAGACCGCGGAACCTGCACGGGAACTCTCGAATCGTAGCTCAGCACCTCCGCAATCTTCTCATCAGAGACGTCGCTGATGTAGAAGCTTCCACCGAACCTACGTTAGCTAGATCTTGCAATTAATTGCAAGTTTCTAGATTCAGAGCAAACTGTCCCACCTCAATTGAGTTGCAGCCAAGCTTCAAAATTCCAATTGTCGAGGCTTCCCATCCATACTCCAGGATCACCTTCTCGGCTGGCTTCAGGGTGAATGACCTCGATGCTGAGGAGGCTCGATCAGCACTGTACATGTATAAGGCCAAACCCCCCCCAAAAAAAAAAACACCAGGATCAATTCTATATATTGCCAAGCTGCGTAGACTCTCTCACAGCTTCAGCGTCCGGCAAGGATATCCGCTCGAGCTTTTGGAGGTCCCTAAGGTCTTGCATGACCTGCTCCTTGCACGCCTGCGCAACTCAACAAGGTTGTCTGGTGTAAAAAAGGAATTCGAACTACATATGCCCATTGCAATGGAGGTGACAAACCTCGATGCGCTGCCGAGACTTCGGCATCTCTTCCACCGACTTGTAGGCCTTGGCCTTGCGCTTGCCCCTGGCAGAAATCGAAGGTGTCCATCCGGAGTGAACCTGACGTCACACAAGGGTTTAGGGCACAGGGCGTTTATAGGGTATTATTTGGGTCTATTCGTATTATTCTATTTAGGGGTTCTTCATGTAGGTTTTACAGGATATATATGATTCAGCTGATGATTCTTGGGGTTTAGAGACCAGTCAGCCAAGGAGCTCGCAAAACTCCTGCGCTGCTCACGCCTGGCGATGGCTCCGGCTCCTGGGCTGCAGAATTCAAATTTAAAATCTCAGTCGATCTGGAGATATATATATATATATATATATTATGATCCATGAATCGAACAATTCTATCCAGATGATCGAATGTCGACAAGAGTCGGCGGCATCCTCATGATCACTTTCTTCGAAGTGTAGTTGGCGCCTGGGTGTCTCGAGCTCGCCGACCTCCTCTCCTTGATCGACCTCCGGAGCCACATCCAAAGCCTTGCCGGCCTTCGCTTTGCCCTTTCTGGACTTTCGCTTCTTTTTTGGCGGGGAGGTGGAACGGTGCTCATCCTTGGCTGCTTGGTCCTCTGCTGCCAAGGCGACGGCATGTGCAACGATTTGCTCTCCGTCGGATGCCTCTCCTTCTGCTTCTGCCTCTGATTTTCCTTTTGCTTCTGCATCAGCTGCAGGCGCCTCTCCTTCTGCTTCTGCCTCTGATTTTCCTTCTGCTTCTGCATTGGCGACATCTCCTGCTTTTGCCGTCGCCTTCGCCTTGCCTTTTGCCTTCACCTTCGCCTTCGCCTTCGCCTTCGCTTTTCCTTTTGCCTTTGCCGTCGCCTTTGCCTTTGGCAACTCATCTTCACGAAGTTGCTTCCGAAGCTTCCTTTGCGCCTGATCAAAACTCTACCGAATTTCGAAAATCACGAAGTATAGTATAATATTATAATTTCGATTTCATGAACAAACTAGCTCTCCGCAATGGCCTGGAGCAGTGTGTCTTCATCTGCATGGTCCTTGTTTTGCAAATCAGTCGCAGCTTCCTCCACTTGCTTGGCCAGGCTGGCATCCACGAACGGTAGCTTGTCGAGCACGGGCTTCGAACGATCGCCCTCCTGGCACACGGTGTTTTTTACATATTTAAACATCTTCATTGCTGACGCAGCTTGCCCACGACACGAACCTACCCTGCAGGCTGTCCTCCAAACTAGACACAGGCCGGCTTGCCGGAAGATCTTTCGGTTCCTTCACCGGGGCCTCGCGCATATAACAAATCACGACGACCAGGGCTAATAACTCTGCTGCACACGAAAATTCATTGCAGATGCCTTCGTGGGCAGAATCTTGGGCCTTGCAGGTGAGGCAGCCTTGCACAGCACCAAATTATAATCAGAAGTACAAACACGAGCAATGTGCACTGATCAATGCGATCGCGTTCCTCCATTTCTGTGGTAGTACATGATTCGGCCACACTGGCTGCCTCCAGAAGGGTCATGACTGTGCATGCATTGTAGTATTGTGCACATGCACATGCACACACACACACACCCACACACACACACATCGGCAGCCTTCCCAGGCGACTTCAAAATCTCACTGACGTGGGGGCCTGCCTTAGTTTCACGGATAGTTTCACGCATTCATTTTTCAATGTCCTCAGCCTGGCCCTGCCTTGCGCAATGCCTGCGTGGGCTTGATCTTCACCTTTATAAGGTCCTTGTGGCCGGTCTCCTGCGCCAGACACAGAGCCCTCATTCATGGTAGTCCAGCAACCCGAATGTGCCCCCCTTGCCCCCCCACCTCTGCAGCAAGAGAGCTCCATGTTGCTGGGGCTGCAGGGATCGGTTTATCCACCGGCTCCTTGCACAATTTAAAAACAACTTGAGTTTCTTCCTTCCCCACGCCTCCCTCCCCCCCTTCCCCCCTGTTCCACCGAATTTGCCTGCAGCTCCTCTTCTGACTCCGATTCGATTTCGATGGGCTGCACATGCAAGTTCACATACATGATCTCCAAATCAGCATCATCTGGATCTTGCATTACGCCAGAGAAGCCTGACCGGCATGGAATAGGATACATCGCACACATCTGATCACTGCACACGTAAATGCCTATATCGGGCCTTCAATGTGCACTTGCGTCTCTGTGTTGTCTCCCACCGATAGTTTCTTGTGAAGCTTGCCGGCCGACTCGGGCTGCGGGGATTCAGCCTGGCCAAGCATGTTATATACATATTACAAGATCGTCTCGACTCATGCAATGCAATCATCCAAGCTGTTATCCCACGCATGTGTGTCCCACCTCACCATGGTCACTCTTGACCTTGCGATGCAATTCCTTCAGCAGCTGCATGTGGCCATGCCCGGGCCTGGCAAATGAGTCTGGACATGTGTTGGCAAGACACGACACGGGCTGCACCAACGCAAGAGAATTAGAAGGCCTCGCTCCCTCATTCTGACCACAACGTCGCAAGACGTAGCTCATCAACGCCCTGTGCAGGTTCCCTTCTGTCAACGCCCAGTCCTGGCACACATGTACGCGCATGTGTGACCCTTATAAACCCTAAGCCTAAACCCTATAAACCCTAAACCCTAAAACCCTAATTAACCCTAAACCCTAATTACCCTAAACCCTAGAATAAATACTAAACCCCATTAAACCCTAAACCCTATAAACCCAAACCCAAGCCTCTCTCTCTCTCTCTCTCTCTCTCTCTCTCTCTCTCTCTCTCTGTGTCTTCTCTTTTTCTTCCGAAGTCCTGGATTTCAGCTTTTGCGGCGTTCTTTGACACGATGCCATACTCGCCAGCAATGCCCGCTAGGGCTTCCTCCAGATCTGGAAACTACACACGGTAATTATACCTCCTGACAAATTTAAATGGATGGATCGACATCGATGGAAAACACCTGGATTGCCAATCGTGCCTGAGCTTCCTTCTGCGTTGGCGTGCTGACAAACACAGAAATCATCATCGTCAGCAAACCGTAGTTCACATCTTTCGACACCTGCGCAGAACGTAGCTCCAACCCCAGTAGACTTATATTAGACACATTCCCGGCCTCAGTCTCGGTCACCGAGGGTCCACTGAGGTCCACGAATGTAAACTTCACAGGAACCTGCCGGAGCCAATCAATATTTTTTCGAAGAACGTGAACCGAATTGCCGCTGTTGCCCACCTTGCCACGTCGGCGCGCTCGATCAAGCTTCTGGGGCCCGATTCCAGCTTTCTCACAGATTGCCTTGAATCTCTGCTCCACGAAGTTTGTGTCCCCAAGGAGTTTGCGGTAAATTGCCTGTCGGGTCTGTGCTATTTCATACAGGTATATTGTTTGTTTATTTATATAATTTGACACCCCACCTGCAGCAAAATCACAATTTCTGGCTTGGGCTTTGATGTCGGCATTGCAAGGCCCCAGGGTTGAATGCAAATATGTCCCAAAACATATATCCAGTGTTCAAGATGCCCCGTGCCAACTTGTTCAATTTTATTCACATAGCCTGCACCCCTTGATCGATTTCCCAGAGAGAATCATCCAAGGATCGCTGCTGGCGGCTGCGGCAGTGAGCGGCACAGCACATGCAACACAGCACGGCGCAGCACACAGCTGCAGTATAACACGTGCACCCCACGTGCGATCGACCAGAAAACAAGCCAGGAGCACCTGATTCGGATGACCAGGCATCAACGTTATCATTGGATTCAGAATGTCCTTGGCCAAAATACAGCAAGCACCTGTGTGAAAACACACGCCGCACAAAACAAGTGCGACCAACACTAGTGCTTCCGGGCATCGTCGCAAAAGTGAACGTCGCATCCATGGAAGCAGGAAGGCAGGTATGCAAGGCAGCCATTTAAGTCACACAAAACCATGGTAAACGGTAAGAATTACTAGCGCTAGCACCCTTGAAACACATAACATTTCTTGCAAAACTCTTGTCCGATTAGGGTCAACCAAACATTCACAAAAGACACCTGAAGTCAAGGGCGACGGTTGCGACAAGAGCATCAACAGGCTGGTTAAGCGAGGCGGTTGATTCACAGGGTAGTAGGGACCTGGGTTTAGGATCAGGGTTCAGAGATGCAGTCACGGAAGACACGAAAGCAAAGGCGTGAGCCTGAACGAAGCACGCGGTCAGCCTTATCACGAAACGCCAGCATTAGGGTACGACACCCTGAGCCCAGCGAAACCCCAAACTGGGTCACTAAACCCTAGAAAGCCTCAAGGGCCTGCACCCTGGCGTCTCTTGCTTGGGGCCGAACCTTGGGTGGTCATGGGTCAGGATATCTTGAATCGCTCGTCCATGAACCTTCTGGCTGCGTGATGCAGCTCGTTTTGCTTGTAAGGATCCATGAAAAGAGCCTAGGATGCCCAGTAGTGCCCTTATTCCCTTTTTTGGGGCTCTAGGTTCCCCTATAAACCCCTTTAAGCAAAAAAGGGCACCCTTTTTAATCCTAGGTTCTTGGGCAACCTAGGAGCTCATGGAAAAGAATCCCCAGAATAGTCAAATCTTAAGGCTCTCGACTCTCGGAGTGGGGGTTGGGGCTAAGCCTTGAACACTATACATCCTACCCTAAGACCCTCGAACCCCAAACCCAAAAACCTTACTAGTAGCCTAGAACATTTCAAACCCTACCATAAGCCCTAAAAGGCCTCAAGCCTTCAGCCCTAAAACCCGAAAGTCCGAAGGCCGGGAGCTCT